ATTCAAATGTTCATAGGTTTTACCTATTATTATGAATCACGTGCATTTGACCAGAAGTGGGATAATGTCTTTAAAACCTACAGTTTATGGAATTTCAAGAAGCTGTCTAGGCTGATGATAAAAATTAGTATTTCAAACCTACAAGTAAATTATTAATGTACTGGGTCAATAGTTCTATTTTACAGAGATTTATAACTATAATTTTTAATCACCTGCATTTGACCAGAAGTTGCATAATGCCTTTAAAACCTACAGTTTAAGGAATTTCAAGAAGTTTTCTTGGCTGATGATAGGAAATAGTATTTCAAACTTACAAGTAAATTATGAATGTACTGGGTCACTAATTCAAATGTTCAGAGAGGTTTTAACTATTATTATGAATCACGTGCCTTTGACCAGAAGTGGGACAATGTCTTTAAAACCTACAGTTTAAGGAATTTGTAGATGCTATTTGGGCTGATGATTGTAAATAGCATTTCAAACTTACAAGCAAATTATGAATGTACTGGGTCACTAATTCAAATTTTTCAGAGATTTTTAACTATTATTATTAATCACGTGCCTTTGACCAGAAATGGGATAATGCCTTTCAAACCTACAGTTTAAGGAATTTCAAGATGCTATCTGGGCTGATGATAGGAAATAGCATTTCAAACTTACAAGTAAATTATGAATGTACTGGGTCAATCATTCAAATTTTCAGAGATTTTTAACTATTATTAATAATCACATACATTTGACCTGGAGTGGGATAATGTCTTTAAAACCTACAGTTTATAGAATTTCAAGAAGCTGTCTGGGCTGATGATATAGATTAGCATTTCAAACCTGTGAGCAAATTATGAATGTACTGGGTCTATAAATCTATTTTATAGATATTTTTGACTATTATTATTAATCACGTGCCTTTGACCAGAAGTGAGATAATGCCTTTAAAACCTACAGTTTATGGAATTTCAAGAAGTTTTCTTGGTTGATGATAGGAAATAGCATTTCAAACCTACATGTAAATTATTAATGGACTGGGTCAATAATTCAAATTTTCAGAGATTTTTAACTATTATTATTTATCACATACATTTGACCAGAAGTGGGATAATGCCTTTAAAACCTACAGTTGAAGGAATTTCAAGATGTTATCTGGGCTGATGATTGTAAATAGCATTTCAAACTTACAAGCAAATTATGAATGTACTGGGTCTGTAATACAAATGTTCAAAGATTTTTACCTATTACCGTATTATTAATCACATACATTTGACCAGAAGGGGATAATGCCTTTAAAACCTACAGTTTAAGGAATTTCAAGATGTTATCTTGCCTGATGATAGTAAATAGTATTTCAAACCTACAAGTAAATTATTAATGTACTAGGTCAATAGTTCAAATTTTCAGAGACATTTAACTATTATTATCAATCACGTGCCTTTGAGCAGAAGTAGGATACTGTCTTTAAACCTACAGTTTATTCAATTTCAAAATGGTATCTTGGCTGATGATATTGAATAACATTTCAAACCTGTGAGCAAATTATGAATGAACTGGGTCAATAGTTCTTATTTTCAGAGACTTTTAACTGTTATCATGAATGACATGCCCTTTGCCGAAGTGGGATAAAGCCTTTAAAACTTACAGTTTATGGAATTTCAAGATTTCATCTGAGCTTATAGTGGTAAATAACAATTCCAACTTGTCAGCAAATTCTGAATGAAATAATAGTATAGCATTAATAATGCAATAGTAATAATGATACTCACATGTCCTTAACCAAGAGTGGGAATATGCCTAAAAATCTACAGTTGGATGTATTGTATGAGAAGGGTTGATTGTTAGCACACTATTAATGTATTAGTGATTTGCATGTAGTAACATTTAGTATTTTGAGGGAAACAGTGATTGTGCAACGTTTGATTTGTGTCTAAACTATGTGCTGTGTGTGATGCCCTTGAAGGGTGATAGTTATTTGACTCAAGCTGAATGGGTGTGTGAGTGTGTCAACTGTTAGGTTCATGTTATATCTATCTGGTAAAAGATTATTATGGCGTTCTTATTCCTTGTTGTGACAATATCTGCTTGAGTAAAGTTGACTAAAACATTACAGTTATCGAATCTAAAGATTCCTCTTGGCTGTTGATAGTATTTAGTCATATGTGAAACTTAATGAAACAGAGTCTACATGCAACAGGTCAATATTGCCAATGTTTAGAGATTTTAAACTATTTTTACTATTCATATGCCCTTAATTAGATAAAGGAAAACAACTTTAAAATCTGATGATAGTAGATCATATTTCAGACAAGTAGAAAGCAGATTATGAAAGCAAATAGGCCATTAATTAGTACAACTTTAAGAGTTAACTTGATTTAATCCTGTATGCCTTTGACCAGGAGAGGGATAATGTCTCCTAAGTCTAATACTAACAGAATAATCTGACATTTAAAAAATTGTGGGCTGAATCTTGAACAGGACAATATCTCTTATTTTCAGAGAATCTGTACAATATTAGTATAATACATACAGATTCAACCAGAAGAGGGATAACACCATAAAATTACAATCAATGGAATCTTCTGATTTCATTTTGGCTGCTCATAGCAAATCACACTTCATATTTATGAGCACACTGGGCTGATCTACAGTACTAACTTTAAGAGATTTGTTTAATAGTATTACTTATATTCCCTCAACCAAAAGTGTTTGAAGTGGAACAAGTTTAAAATCTATATTTTAATGGAATTTATTATTTTCTTTTGGGTTCTTATACTTCATACTTATGGGCAAAATCTAAAAGTAGTGGGGGCAATATTGCATGTTTTAATTTCCTTGACTACATTTATCACACAAATTCCCTAATCCAGAGCTGGCATAAATTGTTTTTGTTTGTTTGTTGCTACACAATATTCTAGTTACATGATATCTGTAAATAACTGAGTTTGTACCAGACAATCCAGTTATTGAGATCATAAGCATCCACACATGCAATCATTGAGACTTGATGCTAGACAATGACTAAGTCATTGAGCCTGACAACCATATCCACATCAGGTAGCATTGGTTTCTGGGGAAAATTACACACAAAACAGTAAATATGAAGTCATCATTTACCTTGACAGTTTCATCTCATTAACAATATGTCATCAAAGAAGCTTCAGCTGCTTGGCCTTCTAACACAATGAGCAGATGACCCTTTGAAGCAAATAGTGAAGGGGGACAACTCTAACTGCTTGAATTAGTTCAGCAAATATAATGTTATTGATGACAATGCATGGAATAACAAGTTCAAGCTGCTATGAAGGGCTCAGTGAATTTCCCATTTATATCAAGCTGACCAGGAAGAGGATTTTCAAAGGAACATTAAAGAAATGTTTTGGATAATTTCTACACCATCATTTTTCTTCAAAGTTATAACTATAGCCTTCTGAGATGGGGCACAAACTCTCCCACTTTTTATCATTCTGAAGTAATTATGCCTTGTATGTCTGGTGTCTGTTACAAACAGCTTCCATGAACACAATAATGATGAAAGCTATAAATGATCATTACTGGCAAATCTTATATGATAATAGCAGTAATATTAAAACAACATTACTTGGAGGCTAAACATGTTATAAAAAGGAGCCACTAACTAACTTAGGGGCCATGTGAACTTTTGGGGATGAGAACTTTAACTGGACCTTTAACTCAGCATTATCAGCATAGTATTATGTGTGATGGTGATGTTACTGAATACACCCTACCATTATAAATAATAGATCACCACTCTTTTACAGTGTCATGAATGTGTACATGAACCTGTATATTTTCGAAGTATTTCATAAGAAATATTCTCTGAAAAGTATGACCAAGCAACATACCAATCTCTTATATACTCTCACAAATGGCATAACACAAATAACTTAAATCCCCCAAAACAAACTTGAATTGTTATACATACATACCCATCAAGAATGGATGTAACATCATTAAAAAAATAATTATGACATAATTTAATTTTCTTTTATTCCCCGTTCTTACTTTAAAAGAAACTATTTACTGTATTATTACATAAAACACTGTGCAAAAATGGCTGGGCTGGCCGATATTTAGATACAACTTACTATATTTTTACAAATATTAGCATAATTATTAAACTATAAAATCAAAATCCAATACCATTCACATCATATATTTTCTGGTTCTATTTGTGGGCATACACATATATTGTTAAAAGGAATAATTAGCTATATTTTAAAATATCATTAGATATTGCAAGAAAGTCATATTTCAAGTTGAGCAGTAACCATTTCTGGGAATGAATGAACCATTATGAATACAAAATGAATGAAAAACACCTGACACCTAAATTCAGCATCCACAACCAGGAACATCACTTATTTTAAGCCAGTAGAGTAATTAGAGTAAAGCGTATGAAAATGAATTCTATTTCGTTTCAGTTTCACGTTTCTACATTTTTTGCGTTGCTATATTTAGCTATTATGGCGGACATCGACTATGGAGCGCTGCCATTGGCATTTTTAGCAGTCAGTAGTTAAAATAAAGGACACGAGTTGTGCAGCTGATTTTGATCTTAATAATTGTTTGTCGATTAAATACATAGTTGACAGTAACACGTATAATTCTCCATATTAGTTATCCCAGTTCTGGTCGTATCCCAGTTCTGGTCGCAACAGAAATGTTTTCCTCGGCTGTGGTCACGAAGTATGTCCATATTCAGTTGATATTTGGGGCGACCACACAAACGTATCCATCGTTGACATTTGTCAAAATTTCTGTCAGGCTTGGCAAATGGAATAAAGGTGATACCACCAGCAAGTCGTTCCGGGTACCGCGTGTCCGAGTTGCAGGTACCCCAGCCACACCTTTTCACCATGATCAAAAAGTTGACTGTAAACGTCGATTTTTTTTTTGTTTTGAAAAGTCCGCCCAAAGACGTATATACGTCTTTGGTCCGCCAGACGTATATACGTCTTTGGTCCGCCAGACCGCTGATGTCGGACAAAATGGTGGTCAGCTGTCAGCACTCTCCTACCCAGAGTTCCATGCGGCAAGCCAGCATAGTATGCTGCCGTCAGCTGACAGCTGATGATGATGATTTAGGGTTTAACGGGTTTTTTTTCATCATCATCAGCTGTCAGCTGACGGCAGCATACTATGCTGGCTTGCCTCATGAAACTCTGGGTGAAGTGCTGACAACTGACCACCATTTGTCCGACATCAACGGTCTGGCTGAACTATTTATCGTCTTTGAGCAGACTTTTCAAAACAAAAAATCGACGTTTAATCAACTTTGTGATCATGGTAAAATTAACGGGCTACAACTCGACACCGGACTGCTGTACCTAATAATATCTGCTATTCCATTGCCAAGCTGACAGAAACCTGACAAATATCAACGATATACATTTGTTGATCGTCCCAAATATCAACTCGATATGAACATACTTCGTGACCACAGCCGAGGAAAACATTTCTTCGTATGTACGGGGAGACTCTATTGTAGAGTATCCCTGATTTAACTGATCGTCAGGCCTATCGCGTTTCTTGATCCGCCTCCATTTTCGTTGTCTTGACCGTAATGGTTTGGTTAAGGTACACATCAAATCGTAGCAATATGTAATAAATATAGCGAGTGTAAATGGCATAATTCGAAGCACATCGCTTCGGATGCAACGTTTGACCCCGGAAATAAGTCTGACAAATCCACACAGCGCGCCCGGACTGCTGATTGGCCAAAATTGACGCATGCGCCAGTTTTGATTGACAGACTGGATCGGTCTATTGCATTCGGGCAGTCAAGCCCGTCAGAAGTTGATTTGGGTAAACTTACAGTCAAATTCCTTCATTGTTTCCTTTTTCTTTTCAACACAAATTCCATGTATTTTAGCAATAATAACGGTAATGCTATTTTTGAGAGCATTATCATTTGTAGAAGCCCTCGGTCTTTTTCAACTACCCTCCTTCGTCGGGCAATTAATGGAAGACCTCGCGCTTCTGCAAATGATAATGCCCTCAAAAATAGCATTACCCTTATAATATTCAAACCTCTTATCCTCCTCTCTCCGGGAAAAAACTCTATTCACTAGACCAAGGAGTCAGTAGTTGTGTAGTAGTTAGTATAGTTAATCAACAAAACGATTAGGGGTATAAGGGTGTCCCCGGCCTTCAGCTTATTGACACTAACGATGATTACTTCATCAATAAAAGTGTCAAAGATATTAGTGAAACCATGGTCATAGACACCCACTGCTGTGTATTCACATGGTATAAGGTTGGTGGGGTAGCCTAGTGGTTAAAGCATTCGCTCTTCAAGCTGAAGGCCTGGGTTCGATTCCCGACATAGGTGCAATGTGTGAACCCCATTTTTGGTGTACCCCGCCGTGATATTGTTGTAATATTGCCAAAATCATAAATTGAACCACGCTATAAGCGGCGTACAACCCAACTCACTCACTCATACGGTATAATATTTGTTCACAGAGGAGCCAACCACACCTAACATCACCGGACCTGCCTCACCTGTACCAGGTGAGAATATCCCCCTGACATGCTCCTCCTCCTCCCGGAGTCTACCCCCGGACCACCACCCACTGACCATGACCTACATCTGGAGGAGGGACAGGACCCTGCTAGAATCTGGTGATGGGTCTCCTACAGGTGGAGATGACCTGACAATAACCCACGTCAGCAGAGAGAACCATGGAGACATCTACAGCTGCCAGACTGTGGAGGAGGGCCTGAAGTCTAACTGGAGTCACGGACATGTACTGGATGTTCTCTGTGAGTAAGAACTTACTTTGTTTACGGTATAAGAACCTCGTGTATCTTATCTTTCATATCTCAGTATTCACACACATGTACATCTCAGTATGTACACATGTCATAAACTGCATATATATCGATAAATATGGGTATCTCTCTCTCTCTCTCTCTCTCTCTCTCTCTCTCTCTCTCTCTCTCTCTCTCTCTCTCTCTCTCTCTCTCTCTCTCTCTCTCTCTCTCTCTCTCTCTCTCTCTCTCTCTCTCTGTGGGTAATCATTTAGGTTTGTAGCCCGTAATATTTATTGATAATTGATTTGTTACTATAATGTTGCCATTCGATTATAGTGAGTGAGTGAGTTTAGTTTTACCCCGCACTATATAGCGGCGGTCTGTATATAAACGAGTCTGGAGCAGACAATCCAGTGATCAACAGCATGAGTATCGATCTGCGCAACTGGGAACACATGTCCCCGTATTTCCTTTGTAATATAACGTATTATGGACTACCGAGAGGCTTCCCAAGAAAGAGCGTACCATACGCAAAGAACGCAGATAAGATATTGCCGATATTGCAGATTAGGTATTGCATATTCATGCACTTTAGACGCAAAAAATCCCAGCATATCACACTCCTAAACATTTGTCATTCAAGGGTCAAACATGATTTAACACTTACTAAACTGCATGTTTTCCATATTAAATGTTTCAGCACGTGGAGTAACTGAATCTGTTGCCGTTTCCATCGTCCCCGTTGCTACTGTCTGTTCCGTCCTGATCGTGGTCATCGCCGTTGTCGTCATAGTTGTTGTTTGTAGGAAACAGAGACATGGAGGTAATACGGTGTGATGCGAGAGTGAATGACCGTAACCTGAGAGTCACGTAAAGTGTCCTAACACGGTATGTTAGAACCCTGCGTTCATGTTTGTCTGTACGTGTTATCAAATCTATGCTAGCCCATGATTCGGTTTTGAACTTACAACCATGGTGGAAGTTGCGGTGGCTGAGCGGGTTAGGCGGCTGACTTTGTGTGCTGGCGATTAGGTTCCTGACTCTGAGGGTGTAGGTTCGAATCCCGGATGGGACTCAACCCAAAAAGTACTAGAATGTGTACTTTACTAAGAAAGTGTCATCCCAAATATAACATCTGTTACATTTGACTACTTTGTAAATGGTATTGTGTAATCACATGAAAGATTATATACGTTCAAAAGCACTTCTTTCGCACTTTCGTTTATACAATTACAAATACTTTAATGGTGTGTTGCTATTGATACATTATTTCCTGCAATTACAATAGCGAGGTATTTTTAGGCAGCTCAATGCACAAAAATGAAGGAAGAAGAAAGTAGAACTAAAAAGTAGTGTTCTTTTATGTAGTGAAAAAATTATGCCAGTGTGGATGAGGTAAGCGGTGTTTTTTTCCCCACAACTGATACATACACCTATACAAAAAATAAGCACAGGTTTACATATGTGTTGTTTTCTCTTTGACTATAGAACTCAACACTTCAAAACTGTCTACATTTACAAGCTTGTAAATGTTTTGTAAAGAAGATATTTACCAGACATTTACAATTTTGTAAATATGATCTGTACAGAACTGTAAATGTCTTGTAATCAAATTTATAACAATTTATAACATATGTAACAATTGGGTAAATATTTGCAAAGGGAGATAAATGGTGTGTAATGCTAAATGATGTATAGGCTACATGCAGTTTGTACGTCCCGCTATAGTGTCATAAGTCTATACAAATATACACATTATCGTTACAAAATTTGAAATGTTTGTATGAACTTTAGTTCTAAATCATCAGGGTTTTTTCTTGTGTATATGAGTATGATTGTCATTACCGCTCAGTGTAAAGTTAACAGACCAGTATTTGACATCATATTGATCTACTATTATGATCTTTAACGATGTGAGCATCTTCTCTTATTTATATCTGTTGATTTATGCAACAGCCGATGGGTTTAATTATGTTCGAGTTCGATTAAGTGCAAACACGCCCTTGGTGTTCCTCACTAGTTTTCATCAAGGAAGAAAACTGCCTCCTTGTGGGGAAAACAAATCTGAGACTAGCCTTTAAGGCAGGATTAATACTCTTTAAGAGACACTAGTATTAATATCATATGCAAAACCTTTCACTGTCTGGAAACAGAATATATATGATACAATTTCACCCCAGACGTGATGTAAAGTAAAAACCACTAGCGTTGTATCTGCTTGACATTTTGTTCCTTCTCTTTTGAAAATTTGTGTCAAAAATTGTTCTGCAAATTTTATGTTATGTATTTATACTTCAAATATCTGCAATTACACGAACAATTCGTTTATCTTATATGTTCCATCTAACATTTTGCACGTGTAATAATCTTCACACAATTATAACTTTCAGGGAAGGGATACACTCATAATCGGTGAGTATAATAGCTATGAAATTTCTGATACAATCTTAATTGATAGGATACCACAGATTGGCTGCTGGTGTCCGGGAATAAATACTTACCTTTGTCAGGTAAAATCTAAATCTATAATACTTTTCTGAGGATCGTCAAGGCTGATCTTTCTTCTGCATTGACGTTTATGTATTCAAAGAGTATTAATCTAGCACCTTCACTTTGTATGTGATAAGTACGAAAACACGACCAATCTGAGAGGACTACACACAAACGTGAAAGTATGATCCCTATCAGTGCGCCACCAACTGGATTGTTACGCATTTCTCAAATAATGATTGTGGTTATTATATGGACCACCACTGGCGACCCCATTAGTACCCGGTGTAGGCGTCTGTCTCATGGGTAACATCTGGCAGACTCCTTATACTGGCAATCTAGCGTTGAATTCTCATCATTGGAATCCTCTGCCATTCCTCATGGAGACCTAAGTCAATTCCTGAAGATTTCAAACAGAAGGATCAAACAGTGAGGAGGATCACTCAGCTCGAACTTCCAGCTCGAACTTGCCATGAGAGATAATCCAAAAGACGTTCGATTTTGTTCATATCGGACCTGTGTGGTCTAACGTTGTCATGCGTAAATATCGGGCGACTGGAAAATGGATGGTTGTCAAAGTGTGGCACGACGACGGCATCCCATACTTCTTATTGATAACGTTGATCACTGTGTGTCCCCCAGACAAGCAGCCTCTTTCTTATGGTACTGGATACGAATCCGTGAAGATCAGGGGTTTGAATTGGTCTTCAGCAACCCATGCTTGTTGTATGGGTTCAGGTGGTGGTTAATTAATGCTCATATGTACATACAGTCAGCTCTCGTTAATCCGACACTCATTAATCCGACAATCACGATAGTCCGACAAAAAATTAGGGAACCATTTAAAACAGTGATAATTACTCTCGTTAATCCGACATTCTCGCATTTCTTTCTATTTTAAACATTCTTTTTCCCCAGCGTTGTCACATACACCCGGGACTCGGGAACAGACGGGAGCTACCAGGAGATAGAAGGTAGGTGTCGTAAGTCGTTTACACTTGTAATTTCTCAAACGTGTCTAAAAAGTACAAAACTCGCATATCCGTGTGCAATAATGAAAAAATTCACGGGTGATATATGTTATCCATCTTGCAATTTGAGTTCATCATTAACTGTAGAACATTGTAACTTTCAGAGAGAGAATACGCTGATTATGGGTGAGTATATGCCATCGTGTTTCATAGCCAGCGCTATGACCTTGAATGACTTAAAGAGTGAAACTACACAAAATTCACAGCACAATGTAACATATTGTGTCAGCACTTTTAAGTGGACCTAAATGTCTTCATAATGTCCTCATCTCGTTTAATATTCATTCTTGGACGTACTTTCTTCGCGAGTGTGTCATATCTTTTCCTTTCATTATACTGAAGTTCAATGTCCAGACTCGATTATTTCCAGACCGCCGCCATATAGCTGGAATATTGCTGAGTGCGGCGTCAAACAACAAACAAACCGACATAGCTATCAGAGCAAAACTATGCACGATTCGGAGCGAAGTAATTTGATTTTAAAGCATTATTCAAGCCATGACAGCAGAGCAGGAACACTTTTTACGGACAGACAATTTCGTTATTGCAAAAGCTGTGACGTTTCAGTGTATCTGTGTAACACTGTTATCTAGCAAATGATGCATCTATAGCAAAAAAGGGTGAGCGAGTGAGGGACTTTATACGCTGCTCTTAGCAATATTCCAGCAATATCACGGTGAGGGACACCAGAAATGGGCTCCACACATTGTACCTATGTGGGGAATCGAACCCGGATCTTCAGTGTGACGAGTGGACACTTTTATCATAAAGCTACACCATTGCCCCTGTAAGTCTATCCATAAAAAGAGTTCCTCTTCATCATACTGGCTTCTAAATGCCACTTAAAGAAGTCTTATTTGAGCCTGCATCAGACAATCTAGTGATTGACATTATGAACATCAATCTATGCATTTGGAATAAGATGACATGCATTAACAAAGTCTGTGAGTGAGGGAGTTTAGTTTTACACCGCACTCAGAAATATTCCAACTATATGGCGGTGGTCTGTAAATAATTGAGTCTGGTCCAGACAATCCAGTGATCAACAGCATGAGCATCGATCGGAGCAGTTGGGAACCAATGACATGTTTCAACCAAGCTAGCGAGCCTGACAACCCGATCCTGTTAGTCGCCTCTTACGACAAGCATAGGTTACTGAAGGTTCATTCTAACACGGACCTTCACAGGTTCAAAGTCTGTGAGAGTTACCATATGATCCCATTAATCTCCTCTTATATCACTGACCAGATTTGAATACAATCAATACTTAATCAAGACTAGATGAATTCTGAAGCCTACAGACAGAAATCTGTGGTGTGGTGGATTATGGTGAAAGAAGATCTGCAATTCCACTCACTAGCAGCAAATGGGAACTTAACAAGAAGATCAATGTGTCCTTGTCATACCTCTAATATTAAATTTAGGGACACAGGGACCAGATTCAAATACTAATGGAACCAATAAACACAAGGTTAAGATTAGAAATTTTATGCATCATTCCTCTCACTGCTGGAATCATGGAGTACTCAAGGCCTATTTTCCATCAGAATCCATCAATACCCAATTTATTTTGTTGCTAGTAACTTTAATTGCCCATGGGACAATTGATCTCTCTTTACCTGTAGAGCTTTTTTAACCTATGAGAGATATGATAAGTGTCTCAGTTCAGATGTATGAGATTCTGTGTAGGAAACACGATGTGACAAGTGCTTCTTTATAATCATCACCTCTCTTTATGTCCCTCTCTTTCTTACAAGTAAGCCCATGGAGGGCCAAACCTGCCTTATTAAGAGGACTAAATGGAGGACCATACGCAGCTTACAGAGAGGATCCATGGGAGGTCAATGCCCATGTTATGGAGAGTACCAACTGCAGTCAGTCAGTCAGTTTAATTTTACCCCCTTTCAGCAATATTCCAGCTAGGGACACCAGAAATGGGCTTCACACATTGTGCCCATGTGGGAAATCGAACCCCAGTCTTTGGCGTGACAAGCGAAAGCTTTAACCACTAAGCTACCCCACGGCCAAGTACCAATTTCAGGTCTATGGCCATCAAATAAAGGGGACCCACTGCAGGAGTACGACCGTCTAATAAAGGGCCGCTGGAGGAGGGTGAGCGAGTATGATTTTGTGCCGCGTTTATCAATATTCCAGCAATATCACGGTGGGGGCGACAGAAATGGGCTTTACACATTGTACCCATGTGGGGAATCAAACCCTGGTCTTAGCGTCTCGAGCAAACATTTGAACTTCTAAGCTACCCCCACAGCCTTGAGGGCATTTGTACTAGGAGTTGCTCCTTAAAACATGAAACCATATCCTACACATACAACTAAATCAAATTGATCATATCTGCTATACGTCGTTTCTTATTACCTCTCTTGATTGGCTACTGGTGTGGACATTTTGGCAACAGTTGAGGACATGGACTTGTTGGAATCAACCACCTCTGCAAAATTATACAGGAATTATTGAGTTAGTGACTGAAGATGATTTTATGGCACACTAAACAATACTTCTGCAACACCACAACAGGGTTGCCAAAAATGGCTTCCACATATTCTTCCCGGGGAAAGAACTGATCCTGGGCCTTTATAACAAGGAGTGAGTGAGTGAGTGAGTTTAGTTTTACGCCGCACTCAGCAATATTCCAGCTATATGGTGGCGGTCTGTAAATAATCGAGTCTGGACCAGACGATCCAGTGATCAGATGAGCATCGACCTATGCCATTGGCATATGATGACATGTGTCAACCAAGTCAGCGAGCCTGACCACCCAATCATGTTAGGCACTTCTTATGGGTTCCTGAAGATCAATTCTAACCTGGTTCTTCATGGGTCATAAAAAGGAGTAATTATGAAGACAGTTAGGTTAAACATCCTCCAACCAGTGGCTGATAGGACATGTCAACACACAGTCAGCCACATACTTTCAATTAGACAACTGCTGAAAATTAGACTTCAGTGATTGTCAAATGAAAATTTCAAATTTTACATGAAACAATATACAAAATAATCAGAGGCAGACCAAAAGCTGGGCTTACTTTCTCCCTCTGACTCTAGCTGCCCTACAAATGTGTCCACATCCTTCTTCTTAGTGCTCAGCTTGAGTGCCTTGCTTGGACCGGCAGGTTTGCTGGAGGACAAGAAAGGGGACATGTTACAGAGAATACATGACGAGGATCAACAGTTGGATCAGCATGCATCCATTGGAAGTTACCTGTCATATCTTTCACATCAGTAGTGTACCACAGAGACAATATTTAGAAAATGACAACGCTGAGAAACCATACGCCCCATGGATATTGTTGGTTGTTTGTCGCAACATCCCAGCTATATGGCAGCAGTCTGTAAATATTCCAGTCTGGACCTGTGATCAACATCATCAGCATCAATCTACTCAATTGTATACGATGACATGTGTCAACCAAGTCAATGAGTCAGACCATACGATTCTGTTAGTCACCTCTTACAACAAGCATGGGTTGCTGAAGATCAATTGTAACATGGATCTCCACGGGTTCAATAGGGATATGGAAATCATGGTGAAATAGCACCTTGCTCTGGGGTGTAAATACATCACACCTTATTAGTCGCCTTTATGAACAAGCTGACACGACGCAGCTGAGTTACTGACTAACCTTGGTTGAGAGTATGAAGATTTGACAGGTTCCACAGGTGTCGGTTCAAATACTGTGTCTGATCTGTAAGAATTGCTGCCGAATCCCCCAGAGCCACTGAAGCCTGAACGAGAGCCCTTGGCCATATCTCGCTGCCTCTGTTGTATTTCCTTGGCTTTCTTCCTCATTTGGTCCCGAGCTTCACGCTCTTGGGTCTGAAACATGGCAGAGTCAAATTGGAATACATGTTGGCACAAAATAATCTAATCTGACAAAATTCTTTTTTCGGGGAGCATTGAGCTCGAGTTATGATGTTGCTGCAATATTTTAGTCTCCAGTAAATGATCAAGTCTGGACCATTCATACAACAGAATGAGCAACAATCTTGAGTCAGTGAGGTTCCATAGCACTATCAGTATTAGCCAGTCATCGTTACCATCAATCTCAGTTTAAACAGTTTATAGTGGCTGCAGACCTGGTCTAACCGGGAAAACAAATCAATCTAAAATTTGTCAAGAACTATAATCTGGACTGTAGGTCTCCAACCACATCACTAGGCATTGTGGGGAGTGATTATGATTTTACACAGGTCTTAGCAGTACTGCAGCAAGATCATCCCAATGGACACAAGAACTGAAAGCTAGACGAGCAAAGACCTCAACCAACCATAAGGCTCCACCAGATTGGTGTTGTATTGCACACTAATAGGTGCAGCTTGGTCAAGAATATTGTTTCAATCCTTCTTCAAAATTCAATCAATACACAACATGAACATAAATGCGACAGTATTTGAATGTGTGTGAGTGTGTTTAGTTTTACGCCACTTGAAGCAATATTCCAGCAATATCACAGCAGGGGACACCAAAAATGAGCTTCACACAGTGTACCCATGTGGGGAATCGAACCCTGGTCTTCGACATGACGAGGGGACGCTTTATCTATAAGGCTCCTGCACCGCCCCCAGACAGTATTTGAAGTTGAACTACAAATGGGATAAAACTGCAACTCTTTTTTCTCTGTGTTCCCTGTTGTTCTGGAGGCCTCAGCCCCAGTCCAGTGCAGGTTGGTTGGTTTGTTGTTTAACGCCGCACTAAATATTATTTTAGCTATACAGCAACAGTCTGTAAATAATTGAGTCTGGACCAGACAACCCAGTGATCAACAGAATGAGCATTGGTTTCTTCTTTAATGCCACACTCCAATATTCCAGCTATACGGCAGCGGTCTGTAAATAACGTAATTGGCAAACGATGACATGTGTCAACCAAGTCAGTGAGCCTGACCACCCGATCCCATTAGTTGCATTTTATGACAAGTATGGCTTGCTCAAGACCAATTCTAACCTGCATCTTCACGGGTATCCTGTGCAGGCAATCAAGGGAGACAACTCACCTGTCTGACAGCCTGGAACACCTTCTCTTCATGGGAGTCCATCTCTGTGAATGTGCGTATTTGAGCAAGGTTGACATTCTCTCTGTAGCCAAGGGCAACAATCTCATCAAAGGCAAAAATCAGTGAGAATGACTGGTCGACTATTTCTGACTCCTCCATGTTGCGACAGTACTCAGGTATCTAAATGAAAGGAATGAAGCTGTAACAGTGGCTCACAGAGGACATGTCGATCGGAGCTGCAGAAAGTTTACATGTCTGCACACACCCATACATAGACATGGTGCTCAGAAACCTTTGAACAATCAGGTTGAAAGTGTGTATGAATGAGCTGGGCTCTAAATCTGCTTAAATAGTATGGCAAGGCACAACAGTGGGAAGAGATCCCGAAGTGATGCAGGTATCAGACATTTACCAACTGTCGTGAAAACCACAAAACAGCATTTGAATCAACTATCATAGGTTTCTGGCATGCCCAAGGGATATAACTCTGCATGGGAATGGAGTAGTGTTGGTCCGATTAATTGAAATAATCGAAGATTGGTCGTAGTGACTAAACGACCAAGCAATCGATCATAATTTTTCATAATCGAACACAACCAATTTTGGAACACTTGTTTTCATTAGCAATATTTTTCACACGGTTTTTTTCTGTTACATTTTGTAAGCACTGCAAGCTCGTTCCAATTCATGATTGAATTTATCTTAAAAGCTCAAAGATATTTATGTTCCTAACATACTAGTCATCCTTTAAAGATGTGAAATTTTGCAAAAAAAGACCCAAAAGAACTACGTGTTTTTCCTTATTTTTATGTGCATTAACAAATTTCATAAATGACGCTAACCAATTATTTTCGATGATTGATCGGTTGTAATGAACCAATCATCAATTATGAGATTTTAACCAATTCCCAACACTAGAATGGAGGAGCCTAATATGGCTGGGACACATGTGCGACTATGATTTTGAACTCAGACTCTGCTGCCTGAGTACTTAGAACATATTTTTAGATTTTAAAAGTCATCTCTTTTCATAATGACTAATGACAAATAAGATACCTACCACTTTAGCAAAGAGACGAAGAGTCTCTAGATCCTCCAGGATGTTGCTGGCCTTGGTGGTGATGAGCAGCATGTACAGTTTCTCTAATGGCTGGTATACATATCTCACACTCTCTGTCTCAACAAATGTATGCTGCTTGCCAGTGTTCATCAACTTGGGGAAAGCAGCAAGTAAACCCTCAATCCGTGATCGAGTCATCTCCACAAACTGTCGGGATATTATGGCTGTGGGGTACAAAGAGCATATATGAAGTCAATGCCTCAAGAAATATAGATTATGACAATACTACAGATATGATTCTGGTGAAACCTAACTACAGCTCCTTGCATATGTCAATCTGTCCAGGTCATCAAGACATTACCGGAGTCCACTTGACTGAGTGACTGATGGAGGTAAAAATTCCTGCTGAAGGACATATGAATGCAGGAACCTAAACAATCACTGTCATCAATGGTCATGATCCTTAGGTCACAAAGACAATTTGGAATCCCTTAATTCAGAAAGCCTGAAAGTTACGTTATGCGTCCACAAAAATCAAGTTCCACGTAGGCCCCGGCAAACAAAGGGACACAACTCTGTGCAGTGTTATATCACCAAGACATTAGATATCCACAAAAATCTAGTGAATAGGCCACCTATGATATAAATCCATCCTGTAGGCCCCAGTGCAAACAAGGGACACAACTCTGTGCAGTGTTACATCACCAAGACATTAGATATCAGCAAAGATTTAAATTTTGAAGATTGAGTTTTTATTCTGATGATGGATTCTATTTTCATCATGGAAAAAACCATTAGTGTAAAAGTCTGCATTACTGTTTTAAGCTAATTGGCTCTAATTTACTGTCTTAGCAGAGCTCAAAAAATCTGACATAATGGTACTCAAGGTGCTAGTAAACAGGTTTATTTTGCTATAAATTTTGGCTAAAAAGTAAAAATTATCTACATGGCTCTAAATTCAACAAGAGTTTCTGAGTGGAGTCAACTTAGTAAGGGACATAATTATATTATTTTTCCTTTTCTTACTCAACTGATTACTTAAGTTAAGTATACATAACTGCAATTCAAACACATATGTCATTGAAGTACATACCTTTCCCTGCCTTATTGCACACAGCGGCAGCCAACAGAACCTGAATATAGCAAAGAAATATGCATACTTATTAAACTTACTACACTGTACATTCTACTTGGCTACAGACTTATTACAAAACATTCTACTCAAAGCTCATAATATGAGCATAAAGTTTCTAAAACAAGCATGCCATTTCCTTTCTTCAAATATCACTTTTCCAAAACGCATCCAGTAGGATGCAGTACTTCAAAGAATCACATTAATTTGATTATGAAATCACATGATTGATACATCTTATTAAATCGAGTTTAACCAATTCTGACTTAGAATACATTATTCCAGAGCATTAGGGTCATAGGGACCATGGGTGCCTCTAAAGGAATATAGCACTTGATTGCCAAGTCATCAGCATTCAATTGTTTATCTGAACATGTGCACGTACATTGGATTATTAATTGTGTACGACATGCCATCTCTCATCACTGTATACAACAGATTCTTATATCGCTGCATGAAACTGTGCATCAGCTGACAATGCAACATTGCTGTTCCTTGACATCACAGCATCAGTCTTGAGACTGCATATCTTGCCATGAATGCAACGTTAGTCATTCTTCTCACAACTAGCCTAAGGACTGTAAAAGTGACGTTTGATTGGTAAGGAGTCAAACCTAAAGATCGTGGAGGGGTGTTTGATCAAAAAGGCGACACAGAACCTGAGTCATATGGTAAAACATGTTAAAAAGGAGTCATTCATTTAACATGACAGAGTTGGGGGTAACCTGCTCTGATCATGCTAATACCATTAACCCAAAGGATTAAAGAGGTACACAAGACGTGTGAAGCATGATCCACTGTCAGCAGCCGTACTTCAAACAAATTCAATAACAAAATCAACACAGCTTAGGAAAACTACTCGATGATTTCTATGAATTTAAGAAACAAATCGAAAATGTCAATATGTCAGTGTTTGATACGTCTTCCTGTTTTGTTGCAAGTGAATGTGGAGAAATAGATTGTCTGTGGAAGCGTTTCAAAACTAAGATCATTTAAATGAACATACACATTCTCTTAATTTTTCTAACACAAAAAAATAATATTAACTTCGACGATTGCCCTGCTATTTTGATCAAATTGATGACATGTCAGTGACAATTACAAGATACAACCGGTAAATAATTCTAATTGTCATCAGAAAACAGCCCACAATGTGTGACACTAACCTGTGTCATTAGACATATAAGCTTCCTGAACGTACACTTACCATGGTTGTAATGCACAAAATATATACTCCTCTATGTAAAGTTGTCTTAACAATCTACCATGTACACGAAGTTGTGATCTATCTTCCACGGGGGCACTTCCAAGATGGTGGTGGCCACGTCGTTCGAGATGTGTTATTGCGCTACCTATAAACAACCTTTGATACATTGTGTAATGCATCAGAATAAACTACATATGGTGGTTGATATGTGTGATAAATATATACAGCATTGCATTCATAAAAGATAAATCTATTTTGGAAATACTATGGGACTATTTTTGTTTGCGTTACGATAGCCACGTCACATAGCCGGAAGTACACGGCGGTGCTATTATTACATGTCAGAAAAATGCCTGAGCAAAATAAGAGAATGTTATCAGCTGGTTATAGTTACAATATATACTATGTTTATTTTGGATTCACAGAAATATAAAACCACTACAATACACATTATTCTTGAACATTTTATTTTAGGCCAATCAAATACTAATATATCCTTTGTGCACATCTGCGAATGGCGGTCTCTGTTGATTTGCTACAAAGAAATCGTCACGAGTAAAGAAGTTATCGTTGACTGTTGTGACCAGCTGAGAAGTAACTAAAACTCTCTACTGAACCACTTATCGTCAGTTTTGAAAAATAGTTGGGTAAGATGAACGGTTTATATCTGCGTTATGAATTACGCATATGATTTTAATAAATTTGACACTGACAGGTGTTTGACAGTGTTGAATCACTTCTAGGAGTGTTCAATGAGTCTGTTGACATTAGACACCCGTGTCTCATCTGGCTTTCTCACCCAGACTCAACAATGCCGACGAGGTCATTGTGACAGAAATATAAAATTGTACAAAGTTAAATTTTAGAATCAAGTTATACGTTACTTAAAAGTTGAACTGTCAACGTTGCCGATATAAGTAGAGACGATATGTCTCAGACTTCACTGAGGTCGCTTGATTGTTTACTGACATTTCTGATTTTACTATTACAATAACATTTCAACAGACCATCAAGGGATCACACTGTTGTTTAAAACTGGTACCTTACTCATGTATCATTCGGACACCAAACAACATCCATTGTTGCTTGATTATCACATGAATAATTGTAAAATATGTCACTAACTCAATTAAAGGCATTTGTATCTTAAACACAAGCCATCACCCCAGTATTAACAATGTCTGTGTGACTCAATGTGCCTATTACAATGCCAGGAGATATGTGATGCCTGAAAACCTGTGATCCAACAATATATATGTTTTCGGACATCCTACACTTTCAGAAGACGATTACTCAAGCTATATAACAAGGATAATGTACATACTCGGACAATCCCCTGCTTTTAAGAGTTAGTGAGATGTATTACAGTTGTTCATGTGTTTAGTTAGTGAACAGTAAATGTTACTTAAGCATATGGGGGCGGTGGGGTAGCCCAGTGGTTAAAGCGTTCGCTCGTCACGGCGAAGGCCCGGGTTCGATTCCCCACATGGGTACAACTTGTGAAGCCCATTTCTGGTGTCCCCCGCCGTGACATTGCTAGAATATTGCTAAAAACGGCGTAAAACCATACTCAGCCAGTCTTAAGCACATGAAACATAATTATATGAAGCAAAGCAACTTTGAAACACCAGGGCTTGTTGGCAGGTCTAATACCCGAGTACAGTTTGGACCCGAAGAAAATCGATCGATATTCCTTCTTCTACGTACATTGCCTCATAACATGACGTTATTGCCACTGAATGTGTATTGAAAATGTATATAATACAGAGATGCCAACCCTTACGCTTTGGGCATAATTATTACGATTTTGATCATTAAATTACGCCATTACACTTAATTTGTGAAAATTATGCTTTTCAACCTGTTTTGCAAAAATCAATAAAGTGGATAAAATTTCACAGGGAATATTTTTCGTAACGCACTAGTGCAGGGGTTCAGATATGGCCTTACACCTACAGGAATCGCTTACTCTTAGCATTGCGCTCATTCAAATTAACTTGTAAGGAATTAAAGTATTTTGTGTCACCTGACCAACAATTTTTGATGTATGGAACTGCATAATGATTGGTCACGTGTATTTCTGTCTAGAATCTTTCCTATTCATGTGAATAAACCTTTTTAACAGTAATTTTTATAAAGTTATCACCTTTCACTATGTAAGTGTTTTAAGTATTACACTTTTTAGGTCCAAATTACACTTTTTGACCTCCAGTATTACACTTAGGCCCAAAATAGGGTTGGCATCTCTGTATAATAGTAAAGCTTTGTTTTTGTGTAGCTCTGAATCAGGAATATCATCTGTCAGCATATTATTATCATAGATGCAATAAACCACAGGAAACAATGTAATTAATTTCAGTGAGGAAGTATTTTGAATTTTGTGTTGTACTGTAGCCATGGCGTGTGTTCTTTATGGTAATAGTTAAATAGTCTCGGGACAGCCTTCATGGTGTTGTGGTTAGACGTCATACCAAAAGACGTTGAAATATGGTACTTGTTGGTCCCTGCCTGGCGCTCTGCATTAATGGGTATAACTAGGACTTGTCGGCTCGTAGTCAGTATAATGTGTCTGTGTGGGGTGTTCATGCTTAACTGCTGCATGGTATCTCAGTGACCTTGCACTATAAAACCAGCTTAAGTCTGGGCTAGTACAAGCAGCCATACACACACATGCACGTCGTCATATGAGCGAAATATTCTTAAGTGCGACGTTAAACCCCATTTCACCTCACCTCACCTTGTCTCGGGGAATAGGTTCAGTGAGTGAAAATTTTGTAATTGTTATAGTTTTTACAGCTGTGGTCAGTGAAGAGAATTCTTCTTCTAAATTGTTTGTAAAGCAGATCCCCAGACAGTATGAAACTGTTTGTTTCCATTGTTTATTTACAAACATTGTATTGGTAAAGTCATTTGAGAGTTAAAGGGAATTCAATTTCATTAGTTTTATTCCAGTTTTTTATAATCCAGCGATAGGATCTACAATTAGTGTTTAGTCGTCCACTTTACTAATGATGTTCTTCATTATTAGCTCCTTATCATAATAAGGTCAGAAACTTGACCTTGTTTCAGAGAATCAGTGAGGCTGTCCCTTTCTCTGCACTCCTCCCCTCTGCACTCCTCCCTCGTAACAAATAGTGAACTGTGTCAATATTTTAATAATAGTTTGTTAAACAACTTTTATATTTTTAGGACATAAATTCTGCAAACAAATCACAGAGTTGGTCTGATATTTTGATTATGATCAGTGTTTCATTGAGTATTATATGTTTATTAGTTTTTGAGTTAGATTGCAATTCATCGGTCCGCTTTTGAGCCAAACGCACTATAAGCATTAGTCTACGCTGCTACATATATCCCAATTTTTGGTCCTCCACCCTGATTTTGCTGAAACAATGTAAAATCTAACAAACTTACTGGCATTGGCAAACAAGGATAAGTTGAGCACCAACCTGACAATTGACACATATTAGCATGTATGAGTTCCGCCACCCGTGAAGATCCGGGGTAGAATAGGTCTTCAGCAACCCATGTGCTTGCCATAAAAGGCGACTATGCTTGTCGTAAGAGGCGACTAACGGGATCGGGTGGTCAGTTTCGCTGACTTGGTTGACACATGTCATCGGTTCCCAATTGCGCAGATCGATGCTCATGCTGTTGATCACTGGATTGTCTGGTCCAGACTCGATTATTTACAGACCGCCGCCATATAGCTGGGATATTGCTGAGTGTGGCGTAAAACTAAACTCACTCACTCACTATGAGTGCCGCCCACTGGTGCTTGTCATTGTTAACGAAGGGACCCCAGGTTATCCGCAATCAAGTGTAGTGCGACTTGCTACATGACGTGAGAGTCTTATGAGCAAGGCGTGTGCAGCTACGCGCGGAATCAGTTTCATTGTCATGTAATGTGCGTGCACTAGCCATCATCTGCTCTACCTTTCACAAACCAAATGGGTTTGCTCATTGCCGTGCACCGCCTACTTCTCGTAAACACATTTTCTGCACCAGTCCAACTATCTGTATCCAACTTGCCTGTACTGATATGAGTGAAATACTAGTAAAGAAAAACAACAGTAGTTAGAACCAGGATAACATGAACTGAAGCTTTACTCACATCTACTATCAGGGCGCAAATGTCAGCTTTTGCCCAGGTGTAATTCCTATGGGTGAGTGAGTGAGTGCTGTTTTACGCCACTTTTAGTATTATCCAGCAATATCGTGGCAGGGGACACCAGAAATACCCGTGTGGGAAATTGAACCCGGATCTTCGGTATGGCGCGCACACGCTTTAACCACTTGATTACCCCACTGCCTCTGTAATTCTTGTAATAGTCATTGCATCTTTCCGTGAACATTCCGTGATATGCTTTGTGTAAATTGTTATTTATGCACTAGTTTCAGAATGCTGTGTTCTTGTCTTCACAGATCGCAGATGTTGAGTACTGCAGGAGGAATGCCCATGTGAGAGGTTTGCTCTGTCAAGGTAGGTGTTGTCCACATGGTTATCTCCCTTGTATTGCTCACTTCAACATGTTCAAGTCACAGTCACCAGTCCTGAAACACATGCAGATGTTCTGTCACCTTGTTTATCTCCCTCGGGACTTCAGTGAGTGCTTTAGCTGCCTTCAAGACTGTAGCATAATCTAAATATGACAATAAGGCACATGTTTTCTAACATGCTGGCTTATGGGGAAATATGTGATAATGGATGGATAAACATGTCGTAGATGGATGGATAAACATGTTGTAGATGGATGGATAAACATGTCGTAGATGGATGGATAAACATGTTGTAGATGGATGGATAAACATGTCTTATATGGATGGGTAAACATGTCCCAGATGGATAGGTAAACATGTACTAGATGGATGGGTAGACATGTCCTAGATGGATGGGTAGACATGTCCTAGATGGATGGGTAAACCCCAGACATGGGTGTCCTAGATGGATATGGTAGACATGTATGGCTAGATGGATGGGTAAACATGTCCTAGATGGATCCAGATGGGGTAAACATGTCCTAGATGGATAGGTAGACATGTACTAGATTGTTTGGTAAACATGTCCTAGATGGATGGGTAGACATGTCCTAAATGGATGGGTACACATGTCCCAGATGGATGGGTAAACATGTCCTAGATGGATGGGTACACGTGTCCCAGATGGATAGGTAAACATGTCCTAGATGGATGGGTAGACATGTCCCAGATGGATGGGTAAACATGTCCTAGATGGATGGGTAAACATGTCCTAGATGGATGGGTAAACATGTCCTAGATGGATGGGTAAACATGTCCTAGATGGATGGGTAAACATGTCCTAGATGGATAGGTAAACATGTAAATGTCTGAGATGGATGAGGTAAACATTCCCTAGATGGATGGTAAGCTTATGTAAGATGGATGGGTAGCCATGTCCCAGATGGATGGGTAAACATGTCCTAGATGGATAGGTAAACATGTCCTAGATGGATGGGTAAACATGGATGGATGGGTAAACATGTCCTAGATGGATAGGTAAACATGTCCTAAATGGATGGGTACACATGTCCCAGATAGATGGGTAAACATGTCCTAGATGGATGGGTAAACATGCCCCAGATGGATGGGTAAACATGTCCTAGATGGATGGGTAGACATGCACCAGATGGATGTCCTAGATAAACATGTCCCAGATGGATGAGAACATGTCCCAGGTAAGCATGTCCTAGATGCATGGGTAAACATGTCCTAGATGGATGGGTAAACATGTCCTAGATGGATGGGTAAACATGTCCTAGATGGATAGCTAAACATGTCCTAGATGGATAGGTAAACATGTCCTAGATGGATGGGTAGACATGCAGATGGATAGGTAGATGTCCTAGATGGATGGGTAAACATGTCCCAGATGGATGGGTAGACATGTCCCAGATGGATGGGTAAACATGTCCTAGATGAAGTAAACATGTCCTAGATGGATGGGTAAACATGTCCTAGATGGATAGGTAAACATGTCCTAGATGGATGGGTAAACATGTCCTAGATGGATGGGTAGACAAGCCCCAGTTGGATAGGTAGACATGTCCTAGATGGATGGGTAAACATGTCCTAGATGGATAGGTAAACATGTCCTAGATGGATGGGTAAACATTAGGGCTGCAACAAATACACTATGTGGCGAATATGATACGTATCATGAATATTGGGTAATGAATACGAATAATTATTTACGAATACAATATTGTGGTTAAGTGATTGATGTACAATTGATTGTGTTAATTTGTCACAGTAATAACCAGTGATCTCATGACACTCAAATTTAGTATGCAATAGTTATAGTTGACAGTACCATGTGTGACCTTGGCAAACTAACATGACTTGCGTTACTGCAAGGCTAGTACATATTCCATTCTTGCATATCTCACTTTCCAAAAGTATACAAGGGTTCAAGTAAAACGTGCTCCCTTAAAAAAGTTGTAAATATTCGTTAATATTCGGTTCTGGTGACCACGAATAACGAATTGAATTCATGAAGGGCTACGGTTAGATTCACCGAATATGCGAGTGAATCATTACAGCCTTAGTAAACATGTCCTAGATGGATAGGTAAACATGTCCTGGATGGATGGATGGATGAAGCAAATTTAATAACTTTTATATTGAAAGATGTCAAGCTTGAGTTAATACATTGATGCTGTAATGTTTTTCTTGAGTGATCCTCTCTTTCTCTCGGTATATTCACTACAACATGAACAAGCATAAGAACCATGGAGAAGAATAGCTCTCCATAGCATGGGATAGTGCAGCATTGCAGAGAATAGTTCGAAAAGTCCGAGAATAGTGCCCATGGCGATGGATAGTGCTCCATGGCGGTGAATACTTCTCAATGTCAGGGGATAGTACCCATGGCCATTTTCTTGTTAAACTGATATGTCAGCTACTTGTCATCGCTTATGTTTTTCACAAAGTTGAGGGGCGATGGGCTGGCCTTCTGGTTAGTGCCAGCTTGTGACGCCTAAGGCCTGGGTAAAATTTGTTTCGGGCAAGTGAACATGAATTTGCTTTCATATGAGTACGTTTTTTTACCCCAAAATAACATTTTTCTTTTTCCTTTAAGTTCAGCTATCTTAAATGGTGAATGAATTCAATTTTGTCAAAGATTTTGTACAAAAGGCAAAGTAAGTAATGTTTATTGTAGTTATATTCCAAGCAAACATTTTGAAATAAAATAAATTAAATTTATATTCATTGTGATGCATGATCTATAGGGAAAGTACAATTTTAGAAGGACGAGTGGAAAGTTCATATTACTTGCCCTATAGGGCGAGTGTAGATTTTCATGCCCTGACATTGTTCAAAGGGACGTTGATCTTTGACTTGCCCTTCCTTGTTCTAATGAGGGCTAATATTTTAGCACTACCAAAATTCTATTTTCCTGAGATAAAACAATACTGGAGATGGGGTTCTTCATAAGAGTCATTTTGATAATCAGATATTCCTTTGCCAAGCTTTGAAAACAGCATGGAGTTACAAAATTTTCTTTTAGAGAAAGCTTTGAAACCTAATTGGACTGATCTTTTCAGAAAGAACTTTTTTTGTCTCCAAGATTTAATCACTGCTAATTAAATACAGACTTGGATATAAACCCCACTTAGTAAAATAATTCAAGTTGGTTGGCAGGCTGGCTAAAGAGAAGTCTTTATCTTTGAAAGCCGTATATGAGCAGGTTATAGTAGTTTATCCTGCACACTTCAACAGACACCTGTATACAGGTACTGGAGCTATCCAAATTAAGCCACAAACATAAACGTCTGCTGTTTATTTGGACACCCAGCCTTTTTGTTGTTTTCAAAGAAAGAGTTTGAGGGTGAGCTGACATATCCTGGCTCAGAGCCAGACAGGAGGTATAATTACTTGCACTTGGTAATCGCTTCATATCAGGTAGTTCATTGGGATGTTAAGTAAAATAGCTTTGAAATGTTTGCCTGAATTTGTTTTGTTTGATGTTTAGACTAGTATAAAACACATGAGGTGAAATGGGCAGGATGGTAGAGCTATTTAAACATGTCAATATATCCTCCATATACAACTAGTGAGTGAGTGAGTTTTACGCCACTTTTAGCAATATTCCAGCAATATCATGGTGGGGGGACACCAGAAATGGGCTTCACACAATGTACCCATGTGGGGAATCAAACCCGGGTCTTCGGCTTGGCGAGCAAACGCCTTAACCACTGGGCTACCCCACCGCCCCAACACATACAACTAAATCACATTGGTCATATCAACTACATGTCTCTTATTACCTCTCTTGATTGGCTACTGGTGTGGACAGTTTGGCAACACTTGAAGACATGGACTTGTTGAAATCAACCACCTCTGCAAAATTATACAGCAATTATTGAGTTAGTGACTGAAGATGATTTTATGGCACATTAAACAATACTCCTGCAGCACCACAACAGGGTTGACAAAAATGGCTTCCACATATTCTTCCCGGGGAAAGAATTGATCCTGGGCCCTAATAACAAGGAGTAATTTTGAAGACAACTAGGTTTAACATCTTTATATGTGTGGCTGATTGGATATGTAGGACAGCCACATACTTTCAATGAGACAACTGCTGAAAATTAGACTTCAATGATTGGCAAAAGAAAATTTCAAATTTTGCATGAAAAAAGTATACAAAAGAATCACAGAGGCAGACCAAAAGCTGGGCTTACTTTCTCCCTCTGACTCTAGCTGCCCTACAAATGTGTCCACATCCTTCTTCTTGGTGCTCAGCTTGAGTGCTTTGCTTGGACCGGCAGGTTTGCTGGAGGACAAGAAAGGGGACATGTTACAGAGAATACATGACGAGGATCAACAGTTTGATCAGGGTGCATCCATTGGAAGTTAGCTGTCATATCTTTCACATCAGTAGTGTACCACAGAGACAATATTTAGAAAATGACAACACTGAGAAATCATACGCCCAATGGATATTGTTGGTTGTTTGTTGCACTCAGCAACATGCCAGCTATATGGCAGCAATCTGTAAATATTCCAGTCTGGACCAGTGATCAACATCATCAGCATCAACACCAATCTACGCAATTTGCATATAACGACAACCAAGTCAACGAGTCTGACCACCCATTCCTTGTACTCGCCTCGGATGACAAGCACAATTGCTGAAGAACAATTTTAACCTGGATCTTCACACCTAGTATCAGGGGACAAACACATTATAACCCACTTGTATTTGTCTGATGATGCTTGTCCAAACTTTAAACTATCCTAGGACAGTATTTCACAAATTGTCAGTCACCATGATGAACAAGTTGACATGATGCAGCTGAGTTACTGACTAACCTTGGTTGAGAGTATGAAGATTTGACAGGCTCTACAGGTGTCGGTTCAGATACTGTGTCTGATCTGTAAGAATTGCTGCCGAATCCCCTAGAGCGACTGAAGCCTGAACGAGAGCTCTTTGCCATATCTCGCTGCCTCTGTTGTATTTCCTTGACTTTCTTCCTCATTTGGTTCCGAGCTTCACGCTCTTGGGTCTGAAACATGGCAGTGTCAAATTGGAATACATGTTGGCACAAAATAATCAAATTCAACAAAATTGTTTTTCGGGGAGCATTGATCTAGAGTTATGATATTGCTGCAATATTTTAGTCAATATAAATGATCAAGCCTGGACCATTCATACAACAGAATTAGCAACAATCTTGAGTCAGTGAGGTTCCATAGCACTATCAGTCATCATTATCATCAATTCCACAGTTTAAACAGTTTATATTGTCTGTGAACCTGGTTTAACCACGAATGAATTTAATATTTGTCAAGAACTGTAATCTAGATCCTAAGTCTCCAACCACATCACCAGGCATTGTGGGGAGTGATTATGATTTTACACAGGTCTTAGCAGTACTGCAGCAAGATCATCCCAATGGACACAAGAACTGAAAGCTAGGCCATCAGGATGACGAGCAAAGACCTCAACCATAAGGCTCCACCAGATTGGTGTTGTATTGCACACTAATAGGTGCAGCTTGGTCAAGAATATTGTTTCAATCCTACAATTTCAATCAATACATAACATGAACATAAATGCGACAGTATTTGACGTGTGGACCTGAACAAATCATGGTGATGTTATCTGGAACTTCAAACTGAAAATGGGATCAAAACTGCAACTATTTTTTTCTCTGTATTCCTTGTAGTTATGAAGAGGCCTCAGCCCCAGTCCAGTGCAGGTTGGTTGGTTTGTTGGTTTGTTGTTTAATGCCACACTCAATAATATTTCAGCTATACAGCAACAGTCTGTAAATAATCAAGTCTGGACCAGACAACCCAGTGATCAACAGCATGAGCATTGATCTATGCAAATAGGAACCGATGACATGTATCAAACAAGTCACCGAGCCTGACCACCCGATCCCATTAGTTGCCTCTTACGACAAGCATGGGCTGCTGAAGACCAATTCTAACATGGATCTTCACGGGTATCCAGTGCAGGTAATCAAAGGAGACAACTCACCTGTCTGACATCCCGGCACACCTTCTCGTCATGGGAGTCCATCTCTGTGAATGTGCGTATTTGAGCAAGGTTGACATTCTCTCTGTAGCCAAGGGCAACAATCTCATCAAAGGCAAAAATCAGTGAGAATGACTGGTCGACTATTTCTGACTCCTCCATGTTGCGACAGTACTCAGGTATCTAAATGAAAGGAACGAAGCTGTAATAGTGGCTCACAGAGGACATGGAACTGGGGACATGTTGATCGGAGCTGCAGAAAGTTTACATGTCTGCACACACCCATACATAGACATGGTGCTCAGAAACCTTTGAACAATCAGGTTGAAAGTGTGTATGAATGAGCTGGGCTCTAAATCTGCTTAAATAGTATGGCAAGGCACAACAGTGGGAGGAGATCCGGAAGTGATGCAGGTATCAGACATTTATTAACTTTCGTGAAAACCACAAAATAGGATTTGAATCAACTATCATAGGTTTCTGGCATGCCCAAGGGATATAACTCTGCATGGGAATGGAGGAGCCTAAGATGGCTGGGACACATGTGCGACTATGATTTTGATCTCAGACTCTGCTGCCTGAGTACTTAGAACATATTTTTAGATTTTAAAAGTCATCTCTGTTCATAATGACTAATGACAAATAAGATACCTACCACTTTAGCAAAGAGACGAAGAGTCTCTAGATCCTCCAGGATATTGCTGGCCTTGGTGGTGATGAGCAGCATGTACAGTTTCTCTAATGGCTGGTATACATATCTCACACTCTCTGTCTCAACAAATGTATGCTGCTTGCCGGTGTTCATCAACTTGGGGAAAGCAGCAAGTAAACCCTCAATCCGTGATCGAGTCATCTCCACAAACTGTCGGGATATTATGGCTGTTGGGTACAAAGAGCATATATGAAGTCAATGCCTCAAGAAATATAGATTAAGACAATACTACAGGTATGATTCTGGTGAAACCTAACTACAGTTCCTTGCATATGTCAATCTGTCCAGGTCATCAAGACATTACCGGGAGTCCACTTGACTGAGTGACTGATGGGGGTAAAAATGATTTCTGAAGGACATATGAATGCAGGAACTTAAACAATCACTGGTCACAAATACAATTTGGGAATCCCTTAATTCAGAATCCCTGAAAGTTCCCCAAGTAAGGTTATGTGTCCACAATTGTTTTGGAATAGACCACCTCCTATGATATACATCCATCCTGTAGGCCCCGGCAAACAAGGGACACAACTCATGTCAATCTGTCCAGATCATCCAAACATCCGCTTGACTGAGTGATTGGGTAAAATAGTTAATTCATTTCTATCACTGTAGTAAATCTATTATTTGTTTTGAATTTAACAGTTTTTTTATTCTTGATGGAGTTTATTTTCAAAGAACAAAATACAGTGTAAATGTTTGCTATTGACACCAATTCACAGTCTTAGCAGAGCTAAAAATCCACATAGTTACAAAGTGCTAGGTAATATTTTGCTGTAATTTAAGTAAACATGATCTACATAGCCTTAAGTTCAATAACAGTTTCTTAGTGGAATAAAGGGACATAATTATTTTTATTTGCCTTTTCCTACTCAACTGATTACTTAAATGAAGTATACATTACTGCAATTCAAACATGACATTGAAGTACATACCTTTCCCTGCCTTATTGCTCACAGCTGCAGCCAAAAGAACCTGAATATAGCAAAGGAACATGCATAATTATTAAACTTATACACTGTACATACCACTTGGCTACAGACTTATTACAAAACATTCTAGTCAAAGCATGTAATATGAGCGTGAAGCCTGCAAACGAACATGCCATTTCCTTTCTTCAAGGGGCGGTGGGGTAGCCTAGTGGTTAAAGTGTTGGCTCGTCACGCCGAAGACCCGGGTTCGATTCCCCAGATGGGCACAATGGAGTTAAGCCCATTTCTGGTGTCCCCCACCGTGATATTGCTGGAATATTGCTAAAAGCGGCGTAAAACTAAACTCAGTCAGTCAGTCGGTCCTTTCTTCAAATATCACTTTTCCTATTGCGTCCAGTAGGATGCAGTACTACAAAGAATCATATAAATTTGACAATGAAATAACATGATTGATACATCCTATTAAATAGAATTTAAACAATTTTGACTCAGGATACATTATTCCAGAGCATTGGGGCCACAGGTGTCTCTAAAGGAATATAGCACTTGACTGCCAAGTCATCAGCATTTGATTGTTTATCTAAACGTGCGTGAACAGAAGGCATTTTCGCTGTGCAACTTCAATAACAAAAATGTACAAATTCTGCAAATTACATTGGATTAATTGTGTATGACATGCCATCTCTCATCACTGTGTACAACAGATTCTTGTATTGCTGCATGAAACGGTGCATCAGCTGACGATACCGTTCTCTTGACGTTGTAGCATCAGTCTATACTGCCATAAAGACAACAATAGTCATTCTTCTTTAAATTTATCTCACGACTAGCATTTAGCACTGTAAAAGTGACGTCTGATTGGTAAGGAGTCCAACCTAAAGTTCGTGGAGGGGTGTTTGATCAAAAAGGAGACCCAGAACCTGAGTCATATGGTTAAACAAGTTAAAAAGGAGTCATTCATTTACAATGACAGAGTTGGGGGTAACCTGCCCTGATCATGCTAATACCATTAACCCATGGATTGAAGAGGTACACAAGATGTGTGAAGCATGATCCACTGTCAACAGCCATACTTCAAACAAATTCAATAACAAAATCACCAAAGTTTAGTAAAACTACTCGATGATTTCGATAATGAATTTAAGAAGCAAACTGAAAATGTCAGTGTCAGTGTTTGATACATCTTCCTGTTTTTGCTGGCAGTGAATGTGGAGAAATAGATTATGGAAGTGTTTCAAAAGTCCATTTAAATGAACATACACTTTCTCTCAATTTTCTTACACAAATAAATAATATTTACTCCGACGATTGCCCTGCTATTTTGATGACATGTCAGTGACAATTACAAGATAAGACCGGTAAATAATTCTAATTGTTGTAAGAAAACAGCCTACAATGTGTGACACTCACCTGTGTCATAAGACATATAAGCAGGGGTGGAAATAACCCATTGCCTGACGTCTGAGTCCAGTGTTTTTTTCTGTCAGGCAAGCAAATTTGTATATCACACTGTACCGGTGTCCAGTTGACTTTCCAATGTTAATTATGTTGTTAATTTAATAAATCAACAAGAAAACAGCTGGTATAGTGGAAAAATTATCAGGGCAAGTGATTTTACATGTGCCACTGTACCAGAGTACACTAGCAATCTTTAGGTTATTTCCACCTCTGATAAGCTTCCTGAAAGTATACTTACCATGGTTGTAGTGCACAAAATATATACTCCTCTTTGTAAGTTGTCTTAACTACACATGCATGTACACGAAGTTGTGATCTATCTTCCACGGTCATCGCTATTTATCATCTGTGGGGGCACTTCCAAGCTGGTGGTGGCCACGTCATAAGAGATGTGTCATTAAGCTACCTATAAACAACCTTTGGATACATTGTGTAATGCATCAGAATAAACTAGATATGGTAGTTGATATGTGTGTCAAATCTATACAGTATGCATTGAGAAGAGATAAATCTATTTTGGAAGTACTTTCGAATGATTTTTGTTTGCTTTACGATAGCCACGTCACATAGCCGGAAGTACACGGCGGTGCTATTATTACATGTCAGAAAAATGTCAGAGCAAAATAAGAGAATGTTATCAGCTCGTTATAGTTACAATATATACTAGAGTTTTTAGGACTTCAGTCCTGCCCTACAACGAAACACATGTAATACATGTGGTCTCACCTTAGGCAAGTGAGTTTGTTCAAAATTGCCTCTGTTCACCCAGCAGGAAATGGGTACCCGGTGGGATAAGTCATGTGACTATAACCTTCTAGCGCCTAATAGGGAGCTTGGGTTATCTGGGGTAATAATAATCAGGGTGTTAGCGCTTTGAGCATTCCCCTTTGTTAGGGGTGGGTATTGCAAGGAATTATTCTTTAACAAAAAATACGTATAATCGAGTTAATGCTTGATTTATAAAGTAAAAACACAACAAAAATCACAGTGCTTGATTAGGCGTTAATAAAAACTTTTAATCATGACAAAATAAAAATGTAAATAACGTTTGGCACAAATGAAACAAGGAAAGGAACAATTTAAAAAACGGAAATATCCGAAGATTTCCGAGTGTTACGAAGTTTTCTGAATGCATGTCAAAATACCGGTTTTCGATCAGCGTATCGCAATACGTATCGTTTTCATGTCTGAACCGGTAAATACAGGTAAACCGGTTATATTGCGCAGCCCTACCCTTTCTGGTGTGGAATATTGCGTGGTATAAGTACCCTCATTAATATTAGTAGTAGTACTAAGTATATTTTGAATTCACAAAAATATAAAACCACTACAATACACATCATTCTTGAACATTTTATTTTAGGCCAATCAAATACTAATATATCCTTTGTGCACATGTGGCGGCCTCTGTTGATTTGCTACAAAGAAATCGTCAGAGTAAAGAAGTTATCGTTGACTGCTATGACCAGCTGAGAAGTAACTTAAACTCTCTACTGAACCACTTATCGTCAGTTTTGAAAATAGTTTGGTGAACGGATTATATCTGCGTTATGAATTACGCATATGATTTTAATAAATTTTGTTTGAGGTGTTTGACAGTGTTGAATCAGTTCTAGGAGTGTTCAATGAGTCTGTTGACATTAGACACCCGTGTCTCATCTGGCTTTCTCACCCAAACTTAACAATCCCGACGAGGTCATTGTGACAGAAGTACAAAGTTAAATTTTAGAGTCAAATTATATGTTACTGATCAGTTGAACTGTCAACGTTGCTGATCCCAGCAGTTAAAGATGATATGTCTCAGAGTGAGTGAGTTTAGTTTTACGCTACATTCGGCAATATTCCAGCTATATGGAGGGGGTCTGTAAAAATGTGAGTCCGGACCAGACAATCCAGTGATCAACAGCATGAGCATCGATGTGCAACTGGGAACCGATGACACATGTCAACCAAGTCTGACCACCCGATCCCTTTAGTCGCCTCATACGACAAGCATGGGTTACTGAAGATCAATTCTAACCATGGGGTCAGTAGGGATATGGAAATATCCCGTTACTTAACAGTTGAACTGTCAACTTTGCCGATACCAGTAGTTAAAGACGATATGTCTCAGACTTCACAGAGGTCGCTTGATTGTTTACTGACATTTCTGATTTTACTATTACAATAACATTTCAACAGATCATCAAGGGATCACAGTGTTTGAGGGTGAGCCGGCATATATCTTGGCTCAGAGCCAGACAGGAGGTATAATTACTTGCACTTGGTAATCACTTCATATCAGGTAGTTCATTGGGATGTTAACTAAAATAGCTTTGAAATATTTACCTGAATTTGTCCTGTTTGATGTTGAGACTATAAAACACATGAGATGAAATGGGAAGGGTTGAAGAGCTTTGAGCGTGATGCTGAGAAAGTGCATGGGATCTTGAGCTTAATATTTCTTTGAACGTGATAGCATTTGGCTGCATGAGATGTACTTGTGACCGGTTGGTGATAACGCCAGAGGCCCAGATAAGCTGCGTATCCAGGTAAAATACGCATAGAAAATTTCCAATTACGCATTGAAACATAATTGTTGTTGCGTACCAATTCACGCATTTAAAATGTTAGATACATAAAAAATTTAAAACAAATGCGCACCGGAATATATATATAAAAATCGCCAGAGTATTGAAAAAGACATCGATGGCTATCAAGTTGTACTGTTAGTATAGGACAAGTGTTGTACTGTCAGTATAGGATGAGTGCTTATTTATGAAATCATTTCCATTATATTTAAGTTGGTTTTGATTAGGTATGACATAAGGCAGACCATACCTGCTTTGTAAACTTACTCAAGTCACATAATACTTAGGTGTGTAAAATGACTGAAATCGCACATATTTGAAAGCAGTGGGTAACGGAAAATGAAATACCCACACAACATTCATAATACACTCCAAAAAATACAGTGGGTACTGAGTACCCACATGAGCTAAATCTTATCTGAGCTCTGTTAGAGTTGCTATTTTGAATCAAGAACCAATCAACTTTTTTAGTCTCATGATCTATATTTATGACCCTGAAACAAATATATATAAGTTCACCCAGCTGTAAAATGGGTACCCGTGAGGTTGTGCTGGCAATGTGAGTGATTAGCTCATTGGGCCTAACAGGCAGCATGACTGTATGATCCCCAGGGAGTTGAAAAAGTATCAGGAAGTACGATGGTGTGCTATAACTGGGGATAGTAATGTGCGTAGAGCCAATGAGCAGGTAATGTGCCTGAATATGGGCGCCATGGCAGACTGTTATTTATTATTAAGAATCTCTGTATATGTGGCAGTTTCAGAAAATGAAGAAAATTTATGGGTCTCTTTTCCTTGTATTTTATAGTTATAATTTAGGAACTGTATTTTTCTGTTAAACGTTTATTTCGGAGTCCAGATGTTAATATAGGTTTAATGACAAACTGCTGTTACTGTGTGAGAGTGGTGGTTGAGAAGTCTTCCCAGCACTTGCAGAAACAATTTTAACTTTAAATACAAAATAAAAACAGCTGTCAGTAGTCTTTAAACCAAACTAGTTTAGTGGTTAACTCATTTGCTGGTCACAAATTTTAGATCCTAAAGAAGTATATCTTGTTTTTAGATTTGCATATTTGCCATTAATAACTAGCTGCTTATGTTCACTTCCTGGATCGCTTCCTTAGTATTCGGAGCGGTGGGGTAGCCTAATGGTTAAAGCGTTGGCTCATCATGCCGACGACCCGGGTTTGAATCCCCACATGGGCACAATGTGTGAAGCCCATTTTTGGTGTCCCCCGCCGTGATATTGCTGGAATATTGCTAAAAGCGGCGTAAAACCAAACACAGTCAGTCCTTAGTATTCACTTTTCACTGTGAATGGAGAAGCAGTTGACTGTATGGAGGATTGCTTTCTTCCAGGATTCCACTGCCTCCGTGGTGTAGTGGTTTAAGAGTGTCCACCCGTAGGGCGGAAGGTTCGATCCCCAGCCGGGTCATACCAAAAGATGTTAAAATATGGTAATTGTTGGTCCCTGCCTGGCGCTCGGCATTAATGGGTACAACAAGGACTGGTCGGCTTGGAGTCAGTATAATGTGTCTGAGTGGGGTATTCATGCTTCACTGTGGCATGGTATCTCAGTGGGCTAGCACTATAAAACCAGCTTAAGTCTGGGCTAGTACAAGCAGCCACACATACACACGCGTCGTCATATGAGCGAAATATTCTTAAGTGTGATGTTAAACCCCCATTTCACCTCACCTCACTTCTTACAGGATTCTTGTCCTTCCGATCCTTTTCACAGAGTTTTCTCCCTTGGACCTCAACACCAATGCAGCCTGATACCTTTCCATGTTACTGGGATGAATAATTGATTTCAGGATTATTTGAGAAATGGATTCTGACTGTAACCTTAAGGACTGTTTAGGGGGTTTGGATTATGAGGTACAGATTTATGTCAGCCTGAGTGTTGATGATGCAGAGGAAAACACTCATGAATATACAATTACTCCTCACATGAGGGAGATAGCTTTAACATAGGACAGACTGGAACCAAAAAATCACTATAAGTTTTTAGTGGCAGTTTTTAAATGATGCTTTTCATTAATAATAATTGATCTGCATTAAATATTTATTTATTTGTTATCCCCGCAACGCTTTTTATGGGTATATAAGTAAGCATAGGTCCGTCCGTCCGTCATCCGTCCGCACATTTGTCTTTCTGGAGCAGAACTCTAAAACCGTTTCAATATTTCTTCACCAAACTTGGCACATACATGGATCTGGTGGTGTACTGGTGCCTTTTGGTAGTTTTTGGAATTTGAATTAAATATTTTTGGCGCTTCCATGGCAACAAGTTTGACAGCCTGAAATTGTGGTAGTGCTCTTTTCCCGAGCAGAACTCTAAAACTGTTCACTATTTCTTCACCAAACTTGGCACATAGATAGATCTGGTGGTGTACTGGTGCCTTTGGTAGTTTTGGAATTTGAATAAAATATTTTGGCGTTTCCATGGCAACAAGTTTGACTTAGCCTGAAATTGGTGGTAGTGCTCTTTTCCCGAGCAGAACTCTAAAACTGTTCACTATTTCTTCACCAAACCTGGCACATAGATAGATCTGGTGGTGTACTGGTGCCTTTGGTAGTTTTGGAATTCTGAATAAAATATTTTGGCGTTTCCATGGCAAACAAGTTTGACTTAGCCTGAAATTGTAGTAGTGCTCTTTTCCGAGCAGAACTCTAAAACTGTTCACTATTTCTTCACCAAACTTGGCACATAGATAGATCTGGTGGTGTACTTGTGCCTTTTGGTAGTTTTGGAATTCTGAATAAAAATATTTTGGCGTTTCCATGGCAACAAGTTTGACTTAGCCTGAAATTGGTGGTAGTGCTCTTTCCTCGAGCAGAACTCTAAAACTGTTCACTATTTCTTCACCAAACTTGGCACATAGATTGGTCTGGTGGTGTACTTGGTGCCTTTGGTAGTTTTGGAATTTGAATAAAATATTTTGGCGTTTCCATGGCAACAAGTTTGACTTAGCCTGAAATTGGTGATAGTGCTGCTTTTGGGAGCAGAACTTTAAAACCTTTCAATACTCCTTCCTTCCATATACTTTTGACATAATCATAATCAGACATAATCATGAAGAGTACATTATGGGGATATTGATGACTTTGTCTTCTTGTTTCACAAGTGATGTTAGCTTCAACAGTCTATTTTATCTCTCAGCCATATTTTCAACTCTTAGCTCCAAACACCCGTAAGGAAATTCCTTTAACAATTAATCCCAATTTCATTTTCTGTCTTTACAAGCTGTAGTGTTTACCTAATTGGCATATAATCACAATTTAAAGACATCTAGATTAGGTCCTTTGTGAAGAAATTGTTTCCACAATTTTCCATTTGTCACCATTAAAGAAGTGTAAAACACCCAGAAGTCTTCAAGTATGTCCCCACATCTGGAGCCTTTATTATATTTTGTGTAAGCCCATTTCTGGTGTCCCCCACTGTGATATTGCTGGAATATTGCTAAACTAAACTCACTCAATGAGACCCGCATCATGTTAGGTTTGTTTTTCCCCGTCATACTCCTGCAATGTTATATTGCAGGGATGCTGTTGAAAGCAGCAATAACCCGGACTCACTCACTGTACCCATGAAGGTCCGGGTTAGAACTGATCTTCAGTAACCCATGCTTGTCGTAAGAGGTGACTAACAGGATCAGATGGTCAGACTCTCTGACTTGGTTGACACATGTCATTGGTTCCCACTTGCGCAGATCGATGCTCATGCTGTTAATCACTAGATTGTCTGGTCCAGACTCGATTATTTACAGACCGCCGCCGCCATATAACTGGAATATTGCTGAGTGCGGCGTAAAACTAAACTCACTCATTCCCTCACTTACTGATAAACAATCTGGACTTTTTTAGATTTCCCTCTATCGGGGAACAACCACTGAACAAAACCTCTTTGTGCAAAAGTATTACTTACAAAGGGGGGAAAAGTGTTATGTACCGTGTTATGCAAATATTTACTGAGTGGAATGAATATGATGAGCTGTATAAGTGAAAGTTGTCTGACATAATGGGGTGCTTGTTTGGACACTGAGATGTGCATGGATCCACAGTGTGCACAGGAGGTTCAAGGATATGTATACAAGTCTACAACAAGCCCACATTGTAGCAGGGGTTTGACATTTACCGATTCCTCATGGAATCAACAGGTTCTGGCAGGGGAATGCATTCCGTATATTTCTGGACACATGCAAAGACTTGCATCATGGCAGTCCAGATTTGGGGCCACTGACATCGGCAACAGGTGTGCCCCGATCACAATGCATTCTCATTATAACACATCTCATTATAGCATGGCTTCAATACAGCCTCACTATAACACATCCTGTTAACATAGTAATATGTTGGATATGGATATCAGTGTGTATACAACACAATCTGATAAACATGAGAAACAGCCAATCGTAAAGCTTAGTATTAAGCATGACTTTCTCAGTTCTGATGTGAAGTAGGGAGATATGTATTTTGGCCTGGTGTTACGTGATTTCCCGTATTTCTAGTGCATTTGTCTGCTATCCCACGGATGTTTAAAGAGGGGAAGGAAGTTGAAGGAGGTTTTGTGCTGTAGTGTAGAGGTGGAATTAGACCAGCTCAGGTGCAGCTGTGTAAGTAACCTACATTCACTGAGAAGGTAGAAACTGTCAAACTGCACTACAAAAAAGAGAATGTGTTTAGTGTTGTAGATAGAAGCCACCTACCAATTAGAGAACCACTAGGCAATTGATGCAGATTTCTGAACATTATGGTTTCATTTGTACAGTGTCAGCTGAATTTGCTTATTAGTTGCTTGAATTTGCTGTTTGATAGTTGCTGGTGTTGCTGATTGGGTTCTGTTGCTGATGACTGCTTGGGTTCTGCTTGGGTTTGCTGATGGCTGCTTGTATTCTGGTGACTGCTGATGGTTGCTGATGACTGCTTGGGTTCTGTTGCTGATGACTGCTTGGGTTCTGTTGCTGATGACTGCTTGGGTTCTGTTGCTGATGGCTGCTTGGGTTCTGTTGCTGATGACTGCTTGGGTTCTGTTGCTGATGGGCTTGGGTTCTGTTGCTGATGACTGCTTGGGTTCTGTTGCTGATGGCTGCTTGGGTTCTGTTGCTGATGACTGCTTGGGTTCTGTTGGTGATGACTGCTTGGGTTCTGTTGCTGATGGCCGCTTTGGTTCTGTTGCTGATGACTGCTTGGGTTCTGTTGCTGATGACCGCTTGGGTTCTGTTGCTGATGACTGCATGGGTTTTGTTGCTGATGACTGCTTGTATTCAGTTGCTGATGACTGCATGGGTTTTGTTGGTGATGACTGCTTGTATTCTGCCTGCTGATGACTGCTTGTATTCTGCTGCTGATGACTGCTTGTATTCTGCTGCTGATGACTGCTTGTTTTCTGCTGCTGCTGATGACTGCTTGTATTCGGCTGCTGATGACTGCTTGGGTTCTGCTGCTGATGACTGCTTGTATTCTGCTGCTGATGACTGCTTGTATTCTGCTGCTGATGACTGCTTGTGTTCTGCTGATGATGACTGCTTGTATTCTGCTGCTGATGACTGCTTGTATTCTGCTGCTGATGACTGCTTGTATTCTGCTGCTGATGAATGCTTGTTTTCGGGTGCTGATGACTGTTTGGTTCTGACAGTTTATGTTCTGACTGATTGTATGCTGCTGATACTGGTCTGTTGCTGATGAATGTTCTCGTGATGAATGATGGTCTGCTGCTGATGAATGCTAATAATGCTTTAGCTTTAGGTTTTTTTACTGATCACTGTTTTGCATTTTTTTTGCTTTTTATGTATGATGGCTGTTTGCGTTATTTGTCTCATGACTGCTTGTGTTCTGACTCACTGCCTTCTTGTGATATGAATATAGGGATTGGCTATGATAAAAATGTCATACACAAAATATAATCGTGTTGTCTTTGAAGTCTTGAGGCTTGAAGCTCACCTAGGTAGTTCGAGACACTGAAAGAAGAGTGATAAGACCATCCAGAGAAAGATCTCATAACCAATGTGCATTTATTCGGTACTCAGAGAAATATTCCTGTCGGTCTTTTTCAAGGGAGTAGTTTCACTCACAGCCATGTAGTAATTATAGAGGCAAAGATTCCATTGTGAGAGGAATATGCTACATATCACGAATATTTGGTAGCAAATGCAATAACAAGCCAGCAGTTGGGTATTATTGTTCATTATGTTAAGTGAAAAAGTAACAAAACAATTATTTGACATGTTTTTGGGAGACAGTGTTAATTTATCACGCAATGATCATTCAACACATTATTGCCAGGTCAAATATAAAGTGTTGGCTATTATCTTGTCTGGGTTGGATATATTCCATTTTACGCATTTTGATAACACCGAAATTCAAGTAAAAATCCTCCCTATTTTAAAGATTTGTGAATATTTTTATTATGTCATCGCGAATAACAAATTAGATTCATGAAGTGATATGATTCATAGAATACACAAGTAAATCGTAACAGCCCTTGTAGTAATGTGTATTTACATACACAGGAAGGAATGAACTTTTAAAGTTTCAAATATACACACTTCGTGAAATGTTTATGTTAACAGAATGACACAAATAAACACTTGTTTTGGGGAGTCCTGTGTGTATTTTACGTTAACGTTTTGAAAAGGTTATCATAAACACTATCATTAACCAAGAGTATCGTGTGATTGAAATTTGGCAAGGCTCATTCCAGGGTTTATATACAAAATGGGCTTCTGTTTAAAAATCTGGTGTTATTTGGTTTTCTATTTTAAATTAGAATATCTCTATTTTTTCACTTGTGAGATTGTTTTTTCGGAAAATAATCAGGAATGAAATATTGTATGAAATATAGTGAGTAGTGTTTGCCTTATAAGGAGAGGAGCAGCAGAGCTGGTATTGATGTGCTGGCTCCCACATGTGGTGTTATAATGAGGAGAAGCAGTTGTAAGTTGTGGATCTATTTATACCAGGAGTGGTGCTGCCTGCACTTCCAGGGAGAGAAAACAAGCCATTTCCTATCTGGCATCAGATACTCTCTCTTCTCCATACTACAGTAGTAGTATCTTCTTCATTATCTGCTGCCACAGCCGTCTGCTCTTGGTGCGTCTGCTTCAAACACAAGAATATAAGAAAATATTTTCTCAAGCATCCAAGATGGAAGGATTTGATTAAGGAATGATCTCCAAAGAGGATACCATACTCCTGTCTGTCAAGAACTTGGTCAAGGTCTGTCAATGTTCATTGAGATTGGATAATTACAACAACAGTGTTTGTGGTGATCAATGGTGGTTGTTTGGCTGTTCTCAGCAGCCACTGAGGCAGACGCCACTGAGGCACTTTAAGCCTGCCCATGTACAGCCAGGACTGGTCAGGAGCTGGTCAGTGTATCTCAAGGGGGATTATAGGATTATATACATGTGTGAGATTATGTCTGGATTATGAAGTCAAGCCATCTGTGGGTAATGTATCTATGGCCAGTGGCTGTAGGGGGTGGCTTCTTGATTTCACTCAGTCTCCGCCACAGGAATTGCCTTTCAGACTCTGAGATAGTTCAGATTAGGAGCAGATTAATTGTCAGTGTTCCAGTTGGGAATCCTTGTTACTGAATTTCCTCTTGGTTCTCACAGAATAGTGGCCATTGTCGTTTATGATCATTGGTCAAGGCTTTTGGATCATTATTTCTAAAAGGAGGTTAAATTTTTTCAGTGGTAGTAAGTCTGAAAAGTTATAATTTTAGAGGAAAGGGAGTTAAATAAGGTCTTGCATCTGAATATTTAGTGCAACACATGAAATGGTGTTGTTCATCCTCAAGGACTCAGGCTGTTGGTCCAATATGGTAATCTGTGAGCTTCTGTGCTTCTTGTATTAAATGTGTATTGGTGATGAAGGGTAGATGAATGACTATGACTGGGATGATCCCTTGGACACTCTGTCAGTCTGTGGTTCTAGTTGCAAGCAAATCAATGACAGTTACTGAAGGAGAATGACAGCTAGTGAAGAAGAGTGCTGTCAGTTGAATGTAAACACAACCTCTTGGTCCATCTATGCTACTGCCTCGGACATTTTCCCAATGTGTCACTGTAAATGGGTCATCAAGTATAGACCATCTTAGGTATTTACACTCATCGGACCAGCTGTCAGTGGTCGATGAGAAAATCGGGAAGGGGGACGAGGGGAAGGGGGAATGGTTCATATTTTAATATGGTTGATAGGATATTCAAATTTATTACCTTGAAGAATGCTGGTCAACATATTCCTTGTATATGATTTTAGACTGGATTAAACTGCCTGTGAACTGACTTCTGGGACAGTGGGGTAGCCCAGTGGTTAACATGTTCGCTCATTATGCCGGGTTCTATTCCCCACATGGGTTCAATGTGTGAAGCACATTTTTGGTGTCCCCTGCCGTGATATTGGAATATTGCTAAAAGCTGCGTAGAACCCAACTCACTCTGTCACTCACTCTGGAGCAGTGGGTAGTGGTTCTATGTACAATGATCCAAGTATTATGACCTTTTTCGTTCCATTTTCTTGGTACTTCAGTGTATGTATAACTTGACTGATTGTGTTATGGTTGGTCTGGATCATTTTTCATGCTGTCATGTCATTGTTTGAAATTGCTCATGAAAGTCAACAGATCATTGTCATTGCAATAATGTTAACAGCACAGTAAGCTGACATGGGTACAGACAAGGGTCTGATGACCAACATAGGTACAGACAAGGGTCAGATGACCAACACAGGTACAGACAAGGGTCAGATGACCAACATAGGTACAGACAAGGGTCAGATGACCAACATAGGTACAGACAAGGGTCAGATGACCAACATAGGTACAGACAAGGGTCAGATGACCAACATAGGTACAGACAAGGGTCAGATGACCAACATAGGTACAGACAAGGGTCAGATGACCAACATAGGTACAGACAAGGGTCAGATGACCAACATAGGTACAGACAAGGGTCAGATGACCAACATAGGGGTACAGACAAGGGTCAGATGACCAACATAGGTACAGACAAGGGTCAGATGACCAACATAGGTACAGACAAGGGTCAGATGACCAACATAGGTACAGACAAGGGTCAGATGACCAACATAGGTACAGACAAGGGTCAGATGACCAACATAGGTACAGACAAGGGTCAGATGACCAACATAGGTACAGACAAGGGTCAGATGACCAACATGGGTACAGACAAGGGTCAGATGACCAACATAGGTACAGACAAGGGTCAGATGACCAACATAGGTACAGACAAGGGTCAGATGACCAACATAGGTACAGACAAGGGTCAGATGACCAACATAGGTACAGACAAGGGTCAGATGACCAACATAGGTACAGACAAGGGTCAGATGACCAACATAGGTACAGACAAGGGTCAGATGACCAACATAGGTACAGACAAGGGTCAGATGACCAACATAGGTACAGACAAGGGTCAGATGACCAACATAGGTACAGACAAGGGGGATGACCAACACAGGTACAGACAAGGGTCAGATGACCAACATAGGTACAGACAAGGGTCAGATGACCAACATAGGTACAGACAAGGGTCAGATGACCAACATAGGTACAGACAGGGTACAGACAACAAGGGTCAGACAAGGGTCAGATGACCAACATAGGTTCAGACAAGGGTCAGATGACCAACACAGGTACAGACAAGGGTCAGATGACCAACATGGGTACAGACAAGGGTCAGATGACCAACATAGGTACAGACAAGGGTCAGATGACCAACATAGGTACAGACAAGGGTCAGATGACCAACATAGGTTCAGACAAGGGTCAGATGACCAACACAGGTACAGACAATGGGGGTCAGATGACCAGATGACCAACATAGGTACAGACAAGGGTCAGATGACCAACACAGGTACAGACAAGGGTCAGATGACCAACATAGGTACAGAGGGTCAGATGGTACAGACAAGGGTCAGATGACCAACATAGGTACAGACAAGGGTCAGATGACCAACATAGGTACAGACAAGGGTCAGATGACCAACATAGGTACAGACAAGGGTCAGATGACCAACATAGGTACAGACAAGGGTCAGATGACCAACATGGGTTCAGACAAGGGTCAGATGACCAACACAGGTACAGACAAGGGTCAGATGACCTACAAGGATCAGATGAAGGCCAGATGACCAACATGGGCCTACTTTTGGCTGCCTTTTAGTAGCATTTTCAAAGATAGCAAATATTTAGTCTGTGAAGACCATTAATGTCACATGTCCTTGGAGCTTGCTCATGTGGTATTTAAATCTGAAGACCCAAATCTGAAGACCCCTTAAATATTTAACGTTTTACATTTTCATTCTTGATAACTGTTTAATCATACTAAAACACATCTGATGTACCCTTTAGCACTAGTATAAAGGAGCATGAGACAGCTTCAATCAATATCCTGTTCAGGTCAGCGTAAACTATTGATGTCAGACTGTCATGAACCTCTCGCTCATGGTCTGCGTTATACTGTTTCCTGGTGAGTGAGTGAGTGAGTTCCAACTATATGACATCAGTGTCTCACCTGCTCAGGGACTTTAATGTCAGTATAACATCCCAAATTCACGGCTCCAGATAATTTTTCAATTTCAGGAGTACTGGTAAACCTTAAGAGTACTGAATGGAATTTAATGGAGTATCAGTCATCTGGTGTTTCGTTTCATGCACCACAACATTGCTACTCTTGTGTAAGTAGGTCAGTAAACAATAAAACAATAATTTTTCAGATAAATACATCTGTAAATTATTCTAAGACTGTACTCCATTGCGGTGGTGAGTATCTGCTACAATTTCTAAATTATTTCCTACCGTATCGTGCATATTTTTATCCGTACGTACACCAATATCTGGAGCCCTGAAATTGGACAAACAAATTTTCCAATTCTTATACAATAATTACTTATGGTATAACTTCACAGGTGACTTGGATTTGACAGACCAATTTGAGCATAATAATTTTTTCACCCCAATTTGTCTGCATCTATCAGCAATGTAGAACTGTAGTCAGTGATCTGATAGCGTGTATGTTTGTTTCAGGGAATACCGGGTAAGCTGACCAACCCGTGTGCAGGATTACGTGGGGTGCTGATGTTCTGTTCCCGGTAAGTTCTGTCACCTTTCAGTGTTTCACCTTAGAGAGTCTAGGTGTACTGATACACAGTCCAGTGTCACAAAACCCAGCTACCATACACAGCAGACGACAAGCTGTGTATCATGATGGCAGTCTTACCAACATTTGCAGCAATATCAGTAAAGATCATACTTACATCAACAATTCTGCTTTGGTTGATTGTAATATACTACTCACACTTTGCTAATGATCACAAAATTTCCAACTTTACTTAAACATAGATTTATAATTTGAAATTGTATCCATTTAAAAGTAGATAGGTAATGATATAGTAACCCCTCTTTAGGCAAACAGCCACTTTAATCTAACCTTATGCACTTGATACGTGAGTAACCATAAAAATGGTTTTCATGGCACCAATGAACCATTTTGAAAATCATGGAACGAGTCGTTGACAAGTACACAACACCTGTGAATAGCAGGTATGGGATCCACAAGATGCAGTGACATATTTAAACCTAGGATTCATGCTTACAATAAGCTTAGATATTTAAACCAAATTAGACCCCACTTCATAGTTTTCTGTTGATTCAATGGTTTGATCCTTAGCGAAGTGTGAATAGTATATGAACCTTATCCCCCTTCTGGCTGGTGATACAGATTGTATCCCACGTCTGTTGTATCATATGTCTGTTGTATCATTGCACCTCCAGACACAATATTGCTGTATTTGACCCACTGGTGCAGTCAGGTCATGTACAACATAGTACATACCATGAATCCTTGTTGACACGACTGTCTGGAATAAGTGCCTGCAAGGACTGCTATTTGGATGTAATTGATTAAACCAGTGGAAACTCAGTGAGAGGCAAATCCGGATTTTGTCTTTTTGGTCATAGTCAGAAGATTTCAGTCAAAAGACGTCTGCCTTGAAGATACACCTTCTATATTCTGTTCTGATTGGAAGGACATTTGCTTCATGACTTATGGTGACATTTATGTTTTGAAGGCTAGAATGTAGTGGAAATTCCTAGATAAACCAATACCTTGATAAACACATGAGTGAGTGAACTTTCCTGATTATTCTACTATTCCAAACAACCATATTCTGCCAGTCAAACCAAAATTGAAGACTATTTTATAGATATGAATGCTGTTTAGAAGATAAAGCTACTCTGTTTTCAATTTTGCGGTCCTTTATCGTTGATTTAAGACCGCTAAATGTAATTTAAAAAACCGACGCGTTCGGGTCAATGAGTTTGTTGTATTCATACGCGGTGAATCGGTCACTTCAATTAGCGGTCCTTAAACTGTCATTTAAGTACGGTTTTGATGAGCTCTCAGCCAATCAGAATCGAGTATCACACATTGTCGTGCTAGAATTCTTGTTTGACTATGAAGGTCATATGTTACTGACTAGACGTCTTGCCAGTTAAATACAGTGATGGGTGGTGGGGTAGGGGTTAAAGTGTTTGCTCATCACGTCGAAGATCGGGTTCAATTCTCCACTTGGGTACAATGTGTGAAGCCCAATTCTGGCATCCAACACTGTTATATTGATGGAATATTGCTAAACGCGGCGTCAAACCATACTCAATTCGATTGTGTGAGCAGGTATAATGTCAGCCCTGGCTGGCATCACCAGTGTAGCATCATACCCAGTGAAACAATGGGTGTTCCTTATATTCTTTGATCAACTAGTAATTCTGTGACACAGCATTTTGTTACTTACACATAATGGCGTATGGCATTATGAGCTGTTCTTTGTTGTGAGTCATGTCATTTGAAGTGCAGACAATTGCAGAGTTATAGGGCAGAATCATACAATACTGGATTTTTTAATCCATGATTTGTCTTGGTTATTTCTTACTTCTGCCCATGGCTTTTGCCCGACAGACTGGATTGACATAAATCACCATTCCATTATCTGTGCTTCTGGATCTGCTTTCAGCATCTTACATTTATTATTCCATTTTTAGATCTTGTTTTTTGGTTTTTGTCTTTTTTATCAAGCAATTTTTTCCTTTTTCTAGTCACATATGGCTTGGTATACTACTGTCATTCATGATGCCGGATTTGGCAAAAATGTTTAAGTTCTGTTCCAGGGTTATGTTGATTCATATTTGTTGTGTCATTGCCTTCACAGATATTGATGTTGAATTAATGTTTGTGTGTTGTTCTTGTATTACATTGAGAATTATCTCCCCTTGGTGAGAATGGGGTCAAAGAGGGGAGATAACTGGAGGTAAAGTCATTGAGTGCTGCCATAGCCCCAAGTGCCCTGTGTCAGATTAAGAACATGGGGTGAACTCATAACCTCTGGCCTCTATGTGATGCTTCAAATATAGAGACTATGCTCTGTTGCTCCATGTAACACAAAGCCCTACTTGCTTTATCTTAGTGGGTCGTAAAAGAGGCGGATGTAGGCAAGTTTCAGCCAGATTTGTTCAGCTATCTAATACTCTCTTCCTGTGTTCACAGATTAATATAGAGCCACAGATCAACACTCATCACCCTTAATTGCCTGTTTCAGGGTATTTTGGGGCAGAAAGAAAAGCTTTTCCCTATTTAAAAAAATGAATCGTACAATTCATGATTTCGGGATTGAGTTGTGATGGTAATTGGCGTTTAAGTGGCTGTGGCATTAAGCCTGCCTCTTGAAGTTTAAATATATGTAATTGTTCCCCAAAATAGACACCTTTCCGTTAGTTTTTAGGGTCTCTCGACATATGAAAGTTTATGGTGAGTGTGGATGTTTCTTGTTGGCGGGACTTAGGCTGAGTGTGCTGTATGAGAGGTCATTATCTGTGGCAGATGTATGCTGAGGAAATACATGCCATGCTTTCAACAAACTGACTGCTGCATTTTTTTCCTGTTGGTATATAATTAACTCTCAAGTGTTCAAGAAATAAGAATAATTAATTAGACTGAGCTTGGGCATGTAGTGCTTTCTGCAGGTATGTGAACAATGTCTGATAGAAATGTATTTGAAAGTGTAGTGCACTTTTTCTGTTAGATATAATAATTTCTCTAATTAAATAAACATTATATTTTTAAACTTATCCTATCTCACGACTTCAAGGTAGTCACATGGGCAATTAGTGGAGCATTCTTCAAGCTTTATTAGGAACTAGGAAGCTAATTAAGGAGAGCAGCATGGAGTGCACGGGTGAATGGACAAGGAGGCCTATGGAAAAAAGTTTACAGGCGTTCCACTAAAAGTCAAAGCAAGAGAGAGAGGTGCAAGTCGTGAGATAAGGATAAGTATATAAATATACAATTTATATTAAAATTTCCAAATTTCTTGTCAAAGATTTGGTATAGTCAATGTCATTGTGATCCCTTTGGACAGAATGTACTTTTATCTTGGTCTTCGGAGGAGTTTCTTGTGTCCATTCTCTGTGTGTGATTGCATCATTTCTGAGTCAAGTAAGATCCTGGAGGTGTGATGTGTGGCATCTCTGCTGGTGATTGAGGATAGTTAATCACCTGGCACCTCATTCCATCCCTGTTAAATCCACAACCATTCAACAGAATAATTCAAGCCGTTCCTTCAACTACCTGCTGATTTACTGAGTCTCTCTGGAAGGACATTTACATGCTCATCCTCCTGTTGTTCTGGGAGTCTAGGAGTGGCTGAAGGTGTGTATGGTGCGTATCGATTGCAATCTTGAATGTCTGGTGTTGGATCAAGTTCCATTCAGTTTCAATCAGAACGGTGATCATTAGGGTGTTTACAAACTATAGCTTCCAGTGAATTAAGGAGGGAGAGTTTCGGTGTCAAGAATGAGTGACTTATGCTGCGGTGTTCTTCAGCATTCTTTCCTTCCTCCATGAATGAAGAAGGGCTGTATGCAAAGACCGTTTTTAGTACACAGTCTAGACATTGACATTGAAATAAAACCATTGAAATCCGACTTGTCTCCATGTCCTACGTGTGTTCATGGTGTGCCAGACATTTGATGGATGTAGAACCGCTGGTATCTGTCTTCCTTGGACAGACAATTACTGTCCTTTTGAAGGAGGATATCATCTCTATCCCTTGAACTGTCAAAATGTCTATGTTCTATGTTTAGATGTTCCTGGGGTACTTCAACCATGTGAAGCAATGATCCCCATAGACCAATATAGAACCATATTCATTATCAGATAGCTTAAGCTGTGCCCTGAATATGCCAGTTTGTACACACCTCACTAGACTTCCACAAGTCTCTAAGCTAAAAATTAATAGTTTAAATGATAGTTTCTAAAAAAGAAAAGATAAATAAGAGACTGGGGTCCTTAGATGTACTGTCCACTTATCTAGACTTGCCTCTTTAAAGGATAATTACTATACATCCATGGGCTCAGCATTCAGTACATCCTTGGAACAAGGCTAACGCACTGTGCACCTCAGGAGTGGTGTCAGACTAACATAACCTGGAAAGTATTTTGTTCTGCAATATTTTCACTCCTCTTAAAGAGTTATTCTGCTGCCAAAGGTAGATGGGCTTGCTTTTTCAAAGTTATATTGCTTTAGGTTTCATTTGATGCCTATATTCCAGTATGGTGCAGGTCTATAATGTTGTATACACTGGCTTTTCCTGTATTCACTTACTGTGTTATAACTGTGATATATTGATTGTACAGTGAGGGTGATGATAAACCTGTACCTACCAGTGAAACCTTCTCCCCATATTTGGTGAGCCAAGGTTCTCCTTGTACCAGGATTCAATGATAAACAGAAAGACGATCTTAAATGATACAGTACTTTTTACAAAGCACCGTTTATTTCGGTGTGTGTGTGTGTGTGAAATGCACTCTTCAGCTCTGAGATAGAGAAGGAACCATTTGGACAGTCGCCAACGTGGGCATGTTTTGTTGCTTTCATGTATCAGGTTAAGTCAGAAATGGGGTTTATTGAGAAGGGTCGTCAGTAAATACAAAACTGTTTGGCAAACTACTTCAATAAATCACGACTTGTATTTTCATGAGTGTTTTGGTAAGTTATAAAACAATCTGAAAGTAGTTGGGAAAATATAATTGAGTTTT